AGAGCATTCATGCCTTAAAGGGAAACGGAGTCTCCGAGAGGAGTTTGGTTTGGTGGTTGTGTGGATTTGGTTGCTGGAAACTAAGGAAGATATTATTTTTGAATTTAAAAAAAGGTTGAAATTTCTGTTTTTGATTATTAAGTTTTACACTTTTAATTTTTTTACAAAAATTATATATATAAATATATATATATATTTAACTCTTTGCTCTGAGTTTTATTTAGATTTATTTAATTTTTATGAGCTTGATTTAAGTGGTACGAACAAAATACATTTTTAAAAAATAAACAGAAATGATAGCAATAAAAAAAATATAACTGTAATCTATCGTTTATTCAGGTCACAAAGAAAGCGAATAGGAACGATAAGAATTTGCCTTACATTTTAGGAATTTGGACGCATGATTTGCCGTTTTCTCTCTCTCTCTCTCTTAGCTGACAAATATTTGGCAGGTGTTTCTGTTTCTCGACTGTGCGCGCAAGTGTTTTCATGTGATCATATTACTCGAACCTTGTACCATTCCTGCAGCTTGTTTTTCACATCTCAATGTCTTCGAGGTCGGGCAATGGGAACCTCAGAATCGCTGCGATTCCGCTCAACTGCGCCAATTCTGAGGCAATCGGAAAACGCTTATTGGCACGAGTCCGATGCGTAAATCGGAGAAGAAATAAGGTTGGGAAACAAAAAAGGCATACTCACGTTCACCCGAGATATGCATCGAAGAAAATATGTATGCCTCGCCTCCTGAACCTTTCACCGATTCCACCAACTTCACGTACTTTTTCCTCGTTGCTATGTCGGAATTCCTGGACCAAGACCAACATATGGTCACAACTTATCATTAGGGCTGAAGATGGGAAAAAAAATCCGAACTTCGGATACCTAACCCAACCACCGAACACCCCCGAAATTTCTACGTAAGTGGCTACAACACTTAAATAAGTTACATTTGCAAGCTGAAAGGACAGAATGAGCTTTGAATTGCTTTCCATTTCCGATTACTAACCTGAAAAGCTCATCGGTAATAAGCAGTGTCTGGACTGCCATTCGCTCATGAGCGATTTCCACATGCTTTGGTCCATAACACGCCCGGGCAGATTCCTATGTTAAAGTAAATCGTTATCAATATGGGCCTGCAATAATTATGTCACACGAACCACGCTGTTCATTGCAGAAGAACCTGACATTTGAAAGCATGTCGAAGAACTCCTTGAGAGCTTGAACCTGTAAAAGCCGACATAAAACACAGGTGGGGTTAATTTTAAAGTTCACCTAATCAAAAACAGGACAACAAAACATCTGTTTAGCAGAATAATTATGAATTTATGAGTTTGTCCAAGGAAAAAAATGACCAAACAGAAAACATGTCTCTCGAAGATGACTGAATAAGGGGAAGAGTTGTGAATAAGCAACTAGGAAAAGACGATGATATGTCTAAACCGACATTTTAAAATCACCTCTTTTGCTGCTTTAGTATCTTTTATCATATTCATGACGTTCGGAGCATCCAAAACCTCTCTCAGGCTATGTCTGCACAACACAACTAAATATGAGAAAGTTTGAATGGTAGAAAGTTTTAAGCATCTTACTTCATTTGATATTGGCCTTAACTCATTTTTAATAATATTTTGCTGAAAACTGTTTTCCGGGCTGATACTTACCTATAGCCGGAGGTTGTGTGCACGAGTAATATACGTGACTTGTTCTCTATAATTGGTCGAAGCTGTCTTCTTTCCGCTTCCAACAATAGGTGACGGTGAAACTGATCCTGAAGATAAGAAACAATCCAATATTATACACCACAAATATATGGGGAAACCTATAGTCATTTGACTCATTGTCCCGGAAATGTAAGCTTGTAAACTTGCTATGCAGACAAGAGTTAAGCCTGTAAAATTATGGCAGCAGAGGACCTTTGTGAAGCCTGGGCTTGCAATCACAGCACATCGGATGACACTGAAATCAACGTGCTTCACAAAAGCCTATCATATTTGGGACGAATTTAGGATCAGTGAAACTCATACTTTTTTTCCTGTTAAGAGAACAAGATTTAATAAGACAAATTCGTGTTCTAAGAATGGAAACAAACCTGTAGAACATTCTCAAAGAACTTCTTCAAAGCCTGTACACGTAAAAAGTCACGACTGTAAAACATGAATTATCACTGCAATTCCATTCTCCAGAGTTTGAACATGAGGACAATGAACCACTGGAAGAACTTACAGATTCATAACCAGCAATGGCAGGTCCATGCTTCCTAGGAATTGAAGTCTCTATTCGTGCACGGCTAGTTGTAACACTGTCAAGCATTAGAATCAAAGAGAAGAAGAATTTACCTGTTATCTTCATAAATAGGATAGTGAAAATTTATTTTTATTAATAGAGTACCTAGCAATTTGGAGGAAAACTATCATATCAATAAAAACTTTTTACAAGGAATATATATACCAGTCGAATAAAGGATAGTTTGGCAAGACCTATTTTGATTAAACATCATAACAGCATCAGTTAACCTCCACATATTTCAAAAAACTACAAAAACATAGTTCTAAACAAGCATGGACAAGGACTCTTTCCATGTACATGACTAGCCAATTTCACGCTTTATTTGCCTCCACACCTATTGTGCACCAATGCAAAGATTCTCTACATACATGGAAAGTGACTACGTAACAGAAGTACAAGCAACTGTTGTCAAAACATTCAAGCGACAGAAATTATAATTTTCCCAGACAATGGACCCTGCAGAAAGCAACGGTTACCTCCTACCAACAAGGAAGATGTGAGCTAATCCTTCTTGCATTAAAACCACAGCTAGATCAGCACTGGCGCCAGGATCTGCACAGGAAAAAGATGAAGTGGATTAGAAAATGGAATACGTGCAGAAAGACTATCTGTGACCTTCGAGAGGTTCTCAAAAGTTTGTAAGGGAAAAATACATTACAAGAATAGATTCCAATCCCATTATTGGAAACATTAATAACACAAAGGACGTTATCACCACCAAAAAGTTAAACAGAGATAAAAGGATCCCATCAAGGTACCTTGCAGAATGCACATTATTCAAGAATCAATATAGCCAACAAACACCAGTTATATCTTTGGACATATGGAAGCAAACATTTTACAAAAGGATCCATGAAATTGTTACATTGTCCACCACTCAAAATGTCATGTGAGAGCCTATGGAGAGCAAATTGAAGCTAAGATCATAAGCACCAGTGGGCGACTAGCATTTTTTATCATCATGAGATCTACAATTATTGACAAATTCCAACCTTTCAGCTTATTAACGAGAAACACAACCACAAGCATCAACATTTTTGACAGAACAACTGCATGCAGCAAAAATTTAGTAACACAACATATGACTTCTCACTTCAATGTCAGCACAAAGACATGCAGAGATCCGAGGTTTCGTAAACATAAAACAAGAAAACACCATAAAACCATATAAGAAAATATTAAGAAGGCTCTCTCCCATTTCCTTCCAGCAAATTGGGATGATCTAACAAGTGTTAACAGCATACCAGAGGCCTGCTTCAGTGTATCGCGAGTAAATGAGTCCCAAACATCCTGCAGATTAAATGTGCAAAGATTAGCAATAACAAGAGAAGCTTTTACAACAACCACAACAACATGGCCTCATTCCCAAGTTCATTTGGGTAGAAGAAAAAAAATAAAAACAGAGGACAAGGCGAATTGTGGCCACCAAAGCCAGTAAACAGCTATCACCAAAACGAAGACCTATATATACCAAATAATATCCTTTACTAGAGCAAGAAGGCAAAAGGACTTGTAGGTAATTCAAAGTAAAATTTGATAGAATATGAAATAAATATCGAGACTAAATACATGTTCACAGATATTTATAAATAAATTTTATTTAATGAGACACCGAGCTGTGTTGCTGAACAGTAAAACGAAATTTAGATGCAAATAATACCATTTCATTCCATGTAGTAAAAATAGAATTAATAGAATAGCAGTGAAACAGAGCCCCTGGTAGATAAAAACATCGAAAGAAGGGTGTCCTACCTTTCTTAACACGAAAGCCCTTTTAATCTCAAGCTCCAAAGTATGGAATGCACCAATCTGCAATGCAACAGACTTAAGCACCAAACTAAAATGCGACATAGGAGAGGGTAAAATCAACCTCATATTTACCTTTACATGCTCATTCTCCAATATATTCTTCCCACGTATGCGTAACATAGACCCTCCTTTATCGTAATCCACATCCTAATTGAGTATCACAAAATAAGAATGACTCGAAAAGAGCTAACCAACAATGCTCAAACATTGATCTATATGCGAACTAACTATAAACAGCACTATACAACAAATAAGCAGCTGCAGAAACAATCTACATAAATTTTCTTCAGTAAAAGGAGGCACTACACAAGCACCTAGACAAAACAGAAGCATAGATAAAAGTAACAAGAATTTTTGCTTGCTGACCAACTTGGGACATGCTGAAAGACAAAACCGCAAAGCACTTATGCATCTTTCTGCAACCCATGAGTTCGTGACATATGCCTCGTTGCATAAGAAATGCTCAATTACTTATAATCCACATCAAATAACTCATAAACGGTGAAACAAATACGAGTTATGGCAATGTAAGCATATTTAATTTTAATCATAATGAAACTTCACATGAAGTTTGACAAAAATGAGGCCACAACAGAGAGGTGGAGATCACAAAAGCATACCTCAACTTGTATTTCAAGCTTCAGTCTAATACGCTCGGCTTCTCTTCCCCCACTAGCTGCTTCTCTCAGAACCTTTCTGATAGCAGGCAAGAACATAGTAAAGGGTAATAAGATGAATGAAAGACACATATACAAACTCCATTTAAGAATTCTTCTCAACAAGCTAACATCGCAATAGGACCCATACAGTGATAAGATGATGAACAAAACTCCTGCCTAAAAGTCAAATGGAAAAAAGTTTTTAAAAGCATCTGCTAATTCCCACAGTGTATTTTCAATCACATTACTCAATTAATGAACTTACACGCTATACTCAGCATTTAGCTTAAATTCAGCACCTTTGCGTATCCTCAGCTCAAAAGAATCAATGGGCGATATGCAAACTGCCCAGAGAGTGAAAAGAAAAGGGGATGGAATACCTGAAAGTGACTGCCATAACCCTATCACCTTGGGCGATCAAGTTGTAAGCAAACCAGAGATCATCGGGATCGTCCGGTACCATCTGCCATCAATTCCGTAACCAAAAGCAAGAAACAAACAAAATTTCAGCAGAGCATTTCGTCTGGAATAGGAAGACAACAGCTGATTCTGAATGGAAAACCATACCTTGACGCTTCCAGGTCCATTAGGTTCAATATCTCTACGCACTATCTTCATCACTTAAGCTTCTGAAGCCCGTATTCAAGGGAAAAAAAAAAAGCTTATCCAGGAAAAGAAATCGGGGAAAAAACATGCAGAAACAGTTCTGAAAAACAAATTCAACAAAAAAAAAGTGGTTGATTTGACTCAGACATACCTCTAACTCCGCTTGACCAGCGTTCGGAATGATCAATCGGATTCCCACAAGTCGAGGATCAGTTCTCGCCACCGCCGATTTGCTGAGGAAACTGTGAAGTTTCGGGCTCAGATGAGAAAGGAGAACGGTTGAAGAAGGTTGCGTGTGATTTAATATTTTTCTCAGAAAAAAAAAGAACTCGGCCCGGTTTATGACCTCGAACTCGACTCGGCCCACTAAGTGGCCCAATATGTGACATATGTCTATAATGGGTCGTGCTTTGAGGCCCAATTGCGAGGAAGATTTTATTTTATTTTGTTTTCGGGATAATTCACATTTTTTTTACCATAATGTTTTTCCTAAAAGTAAAACCATAATAAAGCCTTGTTTTTTTTAAAAAAATCATTTATTAAAGTGTGATCTCTTTTACAAAAATCGAAAGATATTCTAACCTTTGTAAATCACTTATTGGACGATGTTTTAACATGAACTATTTTGATTTGGTATTTTGAAGATTTAAAATAGTTCAAATTAAAAAACAAAGATTTGTTATGAGATTTTTAAAGTTTTATGATATGTTTTGTTCCTTCAAAAATCGTGCCTAATAAAAAATATCAAAAATAGAGGTCGTTGAAAATAATAAAATTTATAATATAACTATTCATTCTGTTTTATTTTTAATTCCTTATTGACTTCTTATTACTTATTAGCATTATTTGGTTATATTTATAAATCGAGTTGAATCAAAGCAAAATAAAATAAATAATATCAAAATCAAATTTAATTTAAAAATATTAGATATAATTTTTTAAAAATTAAATTGAAGTTGAATATGAAAAAAAAAATCAGGTTATCATAAATATTTTTAATAAAATTAAACTGAAATAAAATTCAAATTTAATTTTAATCTTAAAATTATATAAAACTTATTTTACTAAATTCCAAAAATAATACAATAGAGATCTACACGGCATTCAATTCAATTCACTTTTTTTTTTTTTTTTTATGTGTGCGCGCACATAGAAAGAATTATTTTTTCTTGGTGGGGGCGGAGGCCAAGACCACAGGACACAAGGTTAATCGTCGCCGTAAACCCTCGCTCCCCAAAACCCTTTCCTTGTTGCTGGGATCGTGACCAAAAGCCATCGCCGGAGTTTCTTCGACAGGTTCGAGTATCTGTTCTTCTCTCGTTCTGTCTCTTTGATCTTCGTTGTCGTCGATCTCTGATTCCCATGCATCGGTATCTCTCTCATCTTCTGTTCGTCTGCTGTCTCTATTGGAATCTGGCATTCCGAGATTTGAATATTGGGTTTTTCTTCTGTTTATGTTGTTTTCGCTCTGTTTAGCTTTCTAGATTCCAGATTCATATGGGTATTGATGATTTCGGGTTTTCATCAATGCTTTGGAACATTTTATGTCCCAAGTTTAGTTCTTTTTCTCCGATCTGTGGAATTGCCTTTGCGTCTGAAGTGTTTATCAGCTCAACGTGGGCCTTTTAGCGTTTCTTTCTATATTGTGAGCAAGCAAGGGTCCAAGTTGTAGAATTACCAATCTTCTCTGTCTATGTTTAGTGATCCGAACTACTCAATTACTGCTTTTTCTTCTTCACAGTTTCAGTTTAATGTGTAGTGATCGGCGTATTTGCTATTTTGTATCTAATTATTGGGTAGTTATCATGCATCCTCTTTAGCTGACTAACTATAAACTTTTTCTCAATATTACATTCTCCTTTTCAGATTCTGCGATGGCCTTGAGGCGCAGCTTGTCCATAAGGTCGACACTTAGTGCTCATTGTTACCAGCTATCTCCTAGTTACATTATTACTCATGATAATGATCGGGACTTGGATTCGTCCTGTCAAACGCAATCTCAAAGAAGTTACCACAGCTTTCTTCATCAAAGATCCTCTAACCACTCTGTTTCCTCACAAATGTCAAGGGGATGTTCACATTTTTCTCTGTTTCCTACATCTGGTTCCGCTTTCTACCGCTATATGTCTAGTGCACCTGGGGCTGGCTCAGACATCGCTGATGTCTTAACCGATTCAGCATTGCAAGCTGTGGCTTCTCAGGCTGTTGTTGTCAGTGAAGTTGCTAATGCGGCTAAAGATTCTTTCTTTCCCATTGCTGCTCTTCAGCATTGCATTGACATGGTGCATTCATTCACGGGCCTTGATTGGTAAGAACTTCTAGTTTGTTCTTCTCGGATTCTCAGTCAATCCACCAGGAGTATATTGTAAGTGTATTGCATACGTTGGCTTAATACTCATCCTTTGTATTTGGTCCTTAGTGGCAGACTGATCTTGCAGTTACCAGTTTGTTTGGTTCACATTTTCTATATAAACAAAATATTTGGTTCCAAGGAATTAGCTTGATGAATGATGATTTCCATAGTAACAGGACACTGTTTTGTTTTATAACCCTTTGTCTGACTAACCCTTTCCCTTCAAGTCATTTTGCTGTAATTCAGAGAATACATCGTTTTGTCCTCTCCTGGATGCAAATGTCTAACTTATGTGAGGAAGGATCAGTGTCTCTCTTTCTTATTATGTTGGTTGATGTTGATCCATTTTCCCCATCCTTTTGTTAGCTGTATGTGCCTAGTCACACTTAAGATTAAGAGATGGTTTAGAATCGAAGGTTTTCTTTTTAGCTGAAAAATGACTCTTTTGCTCAAATCTTCTGGATTGAGTGACTTGTGCAAATTGCATCACAACTTTACGATATTGTTTGCTTACGTTATTTAACCTCTTATAGGTGGTTATCCATTGTTCTTGCAACTCTTCTGATCCGAACAATGATGGTTCCACTCTTGATTAAACAGCTCAAAGCAACTACACAGTTGACGGTGTGCTTCTTGACTTATTTGCTACCTTTTCTGTGCCTTATCACCACTTACTTTTGAGTACGGTGCACGTACTAATCCATTAAAACAGGGCAAGAAATTTGGTGACCATCTAATATGTGATTCTCTTATTAGCAATTTCCAAATTCATTTATATTTTCAAACGTCAAACTTGTTTACAAAAGAAGAGCAGATTCCGATATGGACATTTATTTTATTTTTCCGCCATTCATACTTTTTATGCATGCTTCTGTCAATACCGGCACCCATCAGTAGTCTTTCTGTGATCATGCAGCTGCTGAGGCCACGGTTGGAGGCAGTCCGGGAGGACATGCAAAATAAGGTAACGTAGAATGTGCCTCGTGGAAGTATACTCTCTTTTATTACTCTGCAATAAGATTTTTTCTTTTATTCTTAAACTCCCTATTACCTTTAATTTTCTCCCTCACTTGTTTATGTGTGTTTAGGGAATGGACCCAACTGCGGTTGCGGAAGGTCAAAAACAAATGAAGGCTTTGTTCAAAGAGTAAGCAGCATTTAAATTTTTCTTTAGGTGAACCATCTCGGATAGGCTTGGAAAAATTTTGTTGTTTGTTTCCTCTCTGTCTTTCTTTCTAGCTTCTGTAGCTAAGTAATTATATATTTCTTACACTCTTAAGAAAAATAGCATGTCGTCTCCTCGTCCTAAGAACCACGGTTCTAGAGAGCGAGAGAGTCCATACCTTCTTTAGTAACTTGTAGGGATGTGCTTGATGTTTCTGAAGCTGTGTTCATTGACACTAAAACAAAAGAAGATCATGTCAGTTATGTAAATTGCATTTAATTCTTCTGGAACATTGGGTGTTAATTTAGTGTGGCCTGGTTCTTCTGGTCAGGCTAGCTTCTGAAATTTCTGAAAATATTAATGAGCTGAGCAATTTAAGATTGATGGAGCAGTAGACTTTTGATGAACTATCAGATTTATACATAGCTTTGTCGGGTCCGAGATCTATGTCTCCGACCTTTTTAAGGTGGATGAAAGAAGTTGGAGACATGTCTTTGGTTGGAGACATGTCTGCGGTGTGAAGAAAGATATATGTTATGATGTTTGTTAATATGTTACAGATATGGTGTCAGTCCGTTCACTCCAATGAAAGGGCTCTTAATTCAGGGCCCTTTGTTTGTCTTCTTCTTCCTTGCAGTAAGACCGTTATCTATCTTTATTCTTCTGACTCGTGCTTTCTTACCACGATACCGCATTCATCTCCATCATTACTTTTTTACAGATTAGAAATATGGCAGAGAAAGTACCTTCTTTCCAGACAGGCGGGGCGCTTTGGTTCACTGATCTCACAACTCCCGATAGCTTGTACATCTTCCCAGTCCTGACAGGGTTGTCCTTTTTGATAACCGTCGAGGTAAACTTCCGTTCCGTTAGTCTTAACAATGTGGATGGATAATCTCAAATATGTAGTGAGCTTCTTCTGATCTTGAGTTCGGTTCTTTCCAGTGTAATGCACAAGAAGGCATGGAAGGGAATCCAATGGCTGGAACAGTAAAAAACGTTTGCCGGGCTTTTGCAGTTCTCACAGTCCCACTGACGATGAGTTTCCAGAAGGTGATACCATTTTTTTTTACTTGAATGAAATAAAAAAAACACGAAACCGCGAGATGACTTTTGTGTTGTTTCCAATCCGCAGGCCATATTCTGCTACTGGATTACATCCAACCTGTTCTCCCTCATGTACGGACTTGGTGAGTCTTTTTTTTTTTTTTGCCTTTATGATCTCTTTACGGATCTCAAACACTATGATATCTTCATCTCTTCAATAATCGTGTGATCTTAATGCAGTGATTAAGCGTCCGCAAGTGAAGAAAGTGTTGGGCATTCCCGAACTGCCTCCACCCGAGCCGGGAAGTACCCCTTCTTTTAACCTCTCTGATGCACTTAAGAAACTAAAGGAGATCACTCAGAAAGAACCCGACTCTTCGCCAGGAAAAACTACGCTTATAAACCCGAGGGCACGGCCCCCGACCCCGAGTCCCGTCAATCAGAGGCTGAAGGCCCTAGAGAGCCAAGTCAAGAAGAGGAAGAACAAGAGGAGATGATTTTCCTCATCGATGCAGCATTGTTGGGGGGATGTTAAGGACAGAACAATGGCCAAGCTCTGTTGTTGGACAAAAGCCTTAAAAGATCAGTTTTGTTAGTTTTATTTATTCTATTTTCCCCATCTAGAAATGCAATAAGTTTTCACTGAGATGCAGAGAGGTTCACTCTTATCTCACTCATGCACTGTCAAGAGATACTGCGATCTTTTGTTTTTCATCTGAAATAAAGATGGACACAGATCTTTATTCAAATATCCTTCCGGACTTCTCAAAGGGAAAGGGGAAAGGTCGTTGTTTTGGTATATTGCCCACCTTTTGTTTCCTCTTGGTACAATTGAACAGACTTTTCCTCCACTCCACAGATTGATTTGGCGGTTCCTATCCGACCGGTTCCCTACTTAATTAGTATTTGGTTCCGCTGTTTTGATCGGTTGTAATTTTCAATTGGATGATGATGTAACATAAACTTTGTTATGTAATTTAACAACACACATATATATATATATATATATATATATATATATATATATAACAAAAAAAAATAAAGATGGACAAGATGTGTCCGATCGGAACCTCAATTTTTTCGGGTTTTTTCAATCGAATTAGCTAATCTTGGCCACTACCAGCAAAAACGAAAAAAGTATATTTTATAAGTATCAAATAAAAAATTTAAGAATTAATTTTCCATCATTAGTAAATTTGAATTAGATTTACCCACGGATTATAATATATTTTAAAAATGGTTTCATCGGAAAATGACACGTGTCCTGCACAAGAGAAGAAGAAAGATTTTCCAAATATTTTTCTCAACTCATTAATATGATAGTTTCGGAAACACCATCTACTTACAAATATACCTACATCATAACTTTATTAATGAACTTTCCAGGTCAGTTCATCCTAATATTACTCTCGCCCAACACGCTTAACTGCACATTTCTGATTGGATCCAGTGTATTAGTGCTGGTATGATCGCAATTCATTAATGAAGAGTTAATTCAGTTTTTGGATTCATTGAAACAATAACTACAAGTGTTAATTTAATTCTAAACTATAAATGGTCCTTAACGAAACGCAGAGATGAGAACAAACCGATCGAACGTATTCGATCTTAATCTGGCTCCCGTTCAAGTTGGTCCCCTGAAGCGCCTCCTCTACGCGCCTGAAGTATATGAAAGCGAAACAACGAGACGAATACATACGCCGTGATTATGTCGACGTCGCCAAACCTCCCGAACAGCTCGGCCAGATCCGACTCCGTAGTATCAAAGGATAAGCTGTCGATCCAGAGATTGTTCGATTTGAACGACGAATCATCATGTTCATGCGATCTGATTGGCTTCAACACTAGAGCCATCGTCGAGCTTCTGTATTCGACAATCGCTAAACCTAGGGTTCCAAAACCGAGTCCCCGAAGAACGATATTACCTGAGATTGCGAGATATAATAAATTTTTTGGGCGCTTGCACTACAATCCTTCCAACATGAAGATCCAGAGAAATATATGATTAAAAGCCTAACTATAAAAAGGAAAACCCTAAAATTGATTTGGAGAAAGAGACGGAAAAAGGTATTGGAGAAACAAAAACTTGAAAATATAAAAATAAATTTAATTTTTAAATGATTTAATATGTCAATATAATGTTTTCTTTCCATGCACGTGAGATTTTTTTTTTAAATTTAGTTCCACAGAAAAAAAAACTCAAAATATTGAAAGAATGATAAAAAAAAAAAGTCTTGTACGTTGCAATTGTATTTTTAGAACATATTTATGTAATGTTTCGATAGATGGAGAAATTAATATGATAAACATTAATAATCTTTTTCTTCTTAAAATTTATGTTCGATTCTTAGCCAGTGAAGAACAGAGTTCCGAATATCAATCACCACCGAGAACAAAAATGTTAATATATAATAATAATAAAATTAATTAAACTCCAACATTTGAAAATGACATAGAGAAAAACATGTACATACGAAAAGTTTATTTTATTTATGCGCTACTCTTATAACTGGACATACCCACGAATATTTTAATTTTATTATAAAATATAAAAACATGAATTTTAAAATCTATGTATTTTGTGTTTTTTTGTTTTGTTTTATCTTCCTAATACTAATGTAAAAAAATAGAAAAAACATATTATAGTTAAATAACATATTACAACTTAAAAATTGTTGTCTTTTTCTATACATTGAGTCGTCACCAAACTCTCCAATCTAACGTATAACTCAGTTTTGTGGGTATTCGAATTTAGTTACTTCCGGTCAAAATATATTTAAGAACCATGTGCATAATAAAGTTATGATATAATGAATAGGGATGCGAACTTTAATATTATAAAGATAAAAAATAACTAAAATATTATAATTATTGATGATAATAATTATAAAATATAGTTTTAGTTAGTTATTAAATTTAATTTATATATATATATATAATTGCAAATTAATATTTAAAAATTAATTTTTATTAAAAATGAGCCCTACCAAATTGTGGTTTTTTGGTTCCACATGCAAAAGGCAAAGGCAACAATGGAATAGGCGTGATACCGAATCAATAGGAATGAATCCCACGTGATAAATCAGTTTTACATATATAGAAAAAAAGTCGCTGTAACGACAAAACCCTCGCTCCCTCTCCCCAAAACCCTTTCCTTGTTGGCGGGATTGCGACCAGAAGCCATCGCCGGAGTTTCTTCGACAGGTTCGAGTATCTGCTATTCTCTCGTTCTGTCTCTTTGATCTTCGTTGTCGTCGATCTCTTATCCCCATGCATTGGTATCTCTCTTATCCTTCTGTCTGCCTGCTGTCTATTGGAACTTGGCGATCCGAGTTTTGAATATTGGGCTTTTCTTCTGTTTATGTTGTTTTCTCTCTGATCGGCTTTCTAGATTCTAGATTTTTTTGGGCATTGATGATATCGCGTTTTCATCAATTTTTGGAACATTTTATATCCCAAGTTTAGCGTCTGAAGTGTTTATCAGCTCTACATGGGTCATTTCACGTTTCTTTCTAGTACCCAAATTACTGCTTTCAACAGTTTAGATATCAATCCTCCTTGTTTTCTGTGTCATTATCGCCATCTTATTGTATTCTATTATACCGTGTTTCATGTCCTCTGTCTCTCTGCAGTTCAGACAGTTGTGAGGTGCTTCGTATCTGGTCTTTGTTTCATATCTCTCTCTCTCTCTCTCTCTCTCTCTCTATCCTTATAATCTTCTGCTCCCTTCTTTTTCACCTGAGGTATGTAAATAGTTGTCTTCATAAATTATGGAAATGTATGCTTCTTAATTCTTTATCTGATTACCAAGGTTAAAAAACAATAGGCACTTCCATGTGTGGGTTTCTTTCACATTCGGTGTGTGCGCTGTTTTGTATCTGAGTATTTGGTAATTATCATGCACCCTGTTTAGCTATAAACTTTTTCTCAATATTACATCCTCTTTTTCAGATTCTGCGATGGCCTTCAGGCACAGCTTGTCTATAAGGTCGACACTTAGTGCTCGTCGTTACCAGCTATCTCCTAGTTGCATTATTACTCATGATAATGATCATGATTTGGATTTGTCCTGTCAAACGCAATCTCAAAGAAGTTACCACAGCTTTCTTCATCAAAGATCCTCTAACCACTCGGTTTCCTCACAAATGTCAAGGGGATGTTCACATTTTTCTCTGTTTCCTACATCTGGTTCCGCTTTCTACCGCTATATGTCTAGTGCACCTGGGGCTGGCTCAGACATCGCTGATGTCTTAACCGATTCAGCCTTGCAAGCTGTGGCTTCTCAGACTGTTGTTGTCAGTGAAGTTGCTAATGCGGCTAAAGATTCTTTCTTTCCCATTGCTGCTCTTCAGCATTTCATTGGCATGGTGCATTCTTTCACGGGCCTTGATTGGTAAGAACTTCTAGTTTGTTCTTCAAGTCTTGTTCTTCTCGGATTCTCGGTCAATCCGCCAGGAGTATATTGTAAGTGTACGGCATACGTTAGCTTAATACTCATCATTTGCATTTGGTCCTTAGTGGCAGACTGATTTGCAGTTACCAGTTTGTTTGGTTCACGTTTTCTATATAAACAAAATATTTAATTCCTAGGAATTAGCTTGATGAATGATGATTTCCATAGTAACAGGGCACCGTTTTATTTTACCATCCTTTGTCTCGCTATCCCTTTCCCTTCAAGCCATTTTGCTGTAACTCAGAGAATACATCGTTTTGTCCTCTCTTGGGTGCAAATGTAAGGATTATTGTCTCTCTTTCTTATTATATTGGTTGCTGTTGATCCATTTTCTCCATCCTTTTTGTTAGCTGTATGTGCCTAGTCACACTTATGATTAAGAGATGGTTTAGAATCGAAGGTTTTCTTTTTAGTTGAAAATTGATTTTTTTTCGCTCAAATCATACGGATTGAGTGACTTGTGAAAATTGCATCACGTCTTTAGGATATTGTTTGCTGACGTTGTTTTAACCTCGTATAGGTGGTTATCCATTGTTCTTGCAACTCTTCTGATCCGAACAATGATGGTTCCACTCTTGATTGATCAGCTCAAAACAACTACACAGTGTGCGGTGTGTTTCTTGACTTAGTTTTTACCTTTTTTTTTTTTTGTGCCTGATCACCACTTACTTTTGAGTATGTTTTTTTAAATATTTCACATTATTATTATTATTATTATTATTATTATTATTATTATTATTATTATTATTATTATTATTCTTATTCTTATTATTGCAGAAAAAATTATTTTTATTTGATAAAAAACTCGAAGCCCGACCCGAACCCGCCCAAAGCCCTATAGGGCTGGGCTCCGGGCCATCGATCCTATACCCGAAAAATAAATGTGCGGACCGACGTGGCCCGAAAATTCTAGGTCCGTATTGAACCCGACTCGAACCTGGTTCGGCCCGCCCATTTTACACATTCTCTTATTAGCAATTTCCAAATTCGTTTATATCTTTGAAACATCAAACTTGTTTACAAAAGAAAAGCAGATTCCAATTTGGGCATTTATTTTATTTTTCCGCCATTCATACTTTTTATGCATGCTTCTGTCAATACTGGCACCCATCAGTAGTCTTTCTGTGATCATGCAGCTACTGAGGCCACAGTTGGAGGCAGTCCAGAGGGACATGCAGAATGAGGTAACGTAGAATGTGCCTCGTGGAAATATACTCTCCTATGTTACTATGCAATAAGATTTTTTCTTTTACATTGATTGCAGTGTGACGGGACTTATTGTTAAACTCCTTAATCCTTATTAGCTTTTAAATTTCTCCCACTTGTTTATGTGTATTTAGCGAATGGACCCAACTGCGGCTGCGGATGGTGAAAAACAAATGAAGGCTTTGATGAAAGAGTAAGCAACATTTAAATTTTTCTTTAGGTTAACGATCTCGGATTGGCTTGGAAAAATTTTGTTGTTTGTTTCCTCTCAGTCTTTCTTTCTAGCTTCTGTAGCTAAGTAATTATATATCTCCCACACTCTTAAGAAACATAGCATGCCGTCTCCCCGTCCTAAGAATCACGGTTCTATAGATAGATAGATAGACAAATATATATATATATATATATATTTGTTAATATGTTACAGATATGGTGTGGAAGAAGATATATGTTATGATGTTTGTTAATATGTTACAGATATGGTGTCAGTTCATTCACTCCAATGAAAGGGCTCTTTATTCTCTTAATTCAGGGCCCTTTGTTTGTCTGCTTCTTCCTTGCAGTAAGACCGTTATTTATCTTCATTCTTCTGACTCGTGCTTTCTTACCATGATACCGCATTCATCTCCATCATTACTTCTTTACAGATTAGAAATATGGCAGAGAAAGTACCTTCTTTCCAGACAGGCGGGGCGCTTTGGTTCACTGATCTCACAACTCCCGATAGCTTGTACATCTTCCCAGTCCTGACAGGGTTGTCCTTTTTGATAGCCGTTGAGGTAAACTTCCGATCCGTTCGTCTTAACAATGTGGATGGATAATCTCAAATATGTAGTGAGCTTCTTCTGATCTTGAGTTCGGTTCTTTCCAGTGTAATTCACAAGAAGGCACGGAATGGAATACGATGGCTGGAGCAGTAAAAAACTTTTACCGGGCTTTTGCAGTTCTCACGGTCCCACTGACGATGAGTTTCCCGAAGGTGATACCGATATTTTTTTACTTGAATGAAATGCGAGGAAAAAAAAAAGACACGAAACCAGGGGATGACTTTTGTGCTGTTTCCAATCCGCAGGCCATATTTTTCTACTGGATTACATCCAACCTGTTCTCCCTCATTTACGATCTTTTTACGGATCTCAAACACTATGATATCTTCATCTCTTCGATAATGGAATTCTTTTCGCAGTGATTAAGCGTCCGCAAGTGAAGAAAGTGTTGGGCGTTCCCGAACTGCCTCCACCCGAGCCGGGAAGTGCCCCTTCTTTTAACCTCTCTGATGCACATAAGAAACTAAAGGAGATCACTCAGAAAGCACCCGACTCTTCGCCAGGAAAAACTACGCTTAATCAGAGGGTGAAGGCCCTAGAGAGACAAGTCAAGAAGAGGAAGAAGAACAAGAGGAGATGAGTTCCCTCGTCGAGAGCTGCCAAAAGAATGATACAGCGATCGTTTTTACCTATCTAAAATAAAGATGGATAGGGATTGCAAGTTTTTTTTTATGTGTCGGACCCGAACCTCAACCTTTTCTCGCGTCTTCCAAACAAGACCTCGATGAATGAAGAGGACAAGGCCGTGATAGAACGACGAAAAAAGAGGTGGTCGGAAAAAATATAGGGTGAGGTCGCCATCGTCGGTATCTGAAAAGATGAATATGAACTAGCGAATACTTACGGAGACCCGTCTCATGATATCATCCACAGACAAAGAGCAATACAGCACACTACAATACTCCAAGTCCTGTGTTTTCTGGTCACCAAATACAAATAACCAAGTCTCTGATACTTCCACACACATTTTTGGCAGCAACACAAAAAGCCACTGAAGGAGAGAACACGACCAAACTACTTTGTTCCGATAACAGACATCAGAAGACTATGTTCATCACTGATTTGTGCAAAACCAACACTGTTCTTGAGGGAAGGTGACGTCAGTGTCGGAGGCTCCGCTCCTGTGAAAAACATAAACAGCCTTCAACTCTTCACCACAAGTATCTTCCTCACTGCATCAATCTTCTCCCATATCTGTTCTTCATTGTTCACCACCACCTTTACCAAAACATATCAGTAAAAATTCCATCAAATCAGAAAAACCCAACAGAAGAGAATCGAATTCAGATCATCTTATACATGCAAAGGCATAACAAAAAGTCTCATAGAGATGATGGGTCTAGTTCCTTAAGGCATGTTTTCTTACTGATGTTGTTGGGTCACCTCCTCTACCATAACACCGTTATATCGGTGAAATTCCACTTTAATGTAGAAGCAAACACCATTTCAACAAAGCCCAACAGAAGAGAATTGAATTCAGATCATCTTATACATGGCACAAACAAGAGGAAATGACAATGAAAGACAAACAAAAAGGTCGATACAGATGATGGGTCTACTAGTTCCTTAACACTTGTTTTTCTTACAATACAGATGTTGGGTCAGTTAGATGTGGTTGGGACAGATTTCTTACCCTAGACATTGCATTTGTTGCATGACACAACTAAAACATGGAGAGTCAATGTATGCTTCACTTTCCAAGTTGTAGAAAAAAACCCGGTTTTTACCTGAACGTCCAGTTTTCTTCTTTCTCTTATTACTGTTTTTTCGTTTCTCTTCCCCGGCTCAACGTGGCGCATCTACAGCTCGGTCTAGTGGCTGAATCATAAGCCAAATCAGTTAAGAGAGAGCTAACTTAGTTACACAGCACAGAAACCATGGCGGCTTAATCCTAATGCCAATACCGAGTTACTGTCAACAGTTCACATAAGAAAAGCAAAACATGGAAGAAGTTAGTCATCAACCTAAACGATAAACATTGGTGCTCCGCTAATACTGTGTCTTCAAAATCACATGGCGGATGATGCTAACATTTCAATAATGTGTTCAAGATTCCTCAACGCTCAAAATATAACATTGATGATGTTTTTGGCTTATAACTTTATAACTGTCTAAATTCTATCCTTTTTCAAACTTGCTTTTAGTCGAGTTTTACCACGGGATTGTAAGGATTGATGTGAAGCTCAACAATGGTTGATCCTAACCCGATTCTATACGAAACCAGTCCTAAAAGTCCATGGTTAGAACTTACATCTAAACACAAAAGGTCGGGGATTTCTCATAGTTCTACAGCTATTAGCTAATATCTATCAATGAATTCCACAACTTGTCATGATGGTGTTTACTCTAATTTCAAGTAAATCCTCACAAGTCGGATGAGGATGCTTTCACTCTAATAAGATATCGATCAAACAATCCACATTTCACTCATGTGGGATCATCACGTTTATAAAGGAGCAATATAAACATCAAGCTGCTATGCTCATATTCAAATTTCATTTTTTCATGATGATTGTGTAAAGCCCTAACCTCATTCTGAGTCGTCTCCTCATGCTTCCCTGCAGAGTTAGAGGTTTCAGTTACCGTGGGCTCGAGTTCCCCTGCAAAAGCACAGGGCTTTAGTAGTTATTTCACACAATGTATATGAACACATGAAAGATCCATCGATATAAAAAACAGCTAACGAAAAACCACCTTCATGTTCATCCAGCTTCTGTGTATTAGCTTCACCCTTTTCACCAACATTTTCAGTCTCATGCCTTTCCTTCTTTTCGGCCACATCCTCAACCCTTGTCCTCTCTGACTCGGCATCTCTAGAACCTATCGGCTTTTCATCCTCTTGTAAAACTTTCTCAGGAGTTCTTCCATGCACCTCATCGGTTCGAACCTCATCCCTAATACTCTCTACTAATTTCTTCGTCTCTTTCTCCGTCTCCTCGTTCTCCGACGCAACAGGGCGATCATATACAGCAACGACTCTGTCGGTTACTTTAAGGGTTGGATCTTCTCCCATATTTGTCACGGTTACATCCTCTCCTTCAATCTGAATGAGAACCGGTCCGGCCTCACCAAGGGAAGTTTCATCGCCTTCTCCATCGACATCTACATGACCATGCTTGCTGTCATCCATAACACCCTCCTCATATCCACATTCATCATTCTCAATGCCTACAGTTTCTTCATTTCCGCCAAAGTAACTGGGAGAGGGGAGCAATGCGTTCATCAACTTTTGGGTACAAGCATAGCTCGCCAGGAAGAGACAGTAAGGGACCGAGGAGATCATCGCAAACATTGAGACAATGACAAGAGGAGGAACTACGAATGGCGCAGAAGACACTACAACACCTGCTGTAAGAAACTTCTTCCCCAAACTCATCCCGTTGCTCCAAATCCAACCCATCTTGCCACCGCCTTCTTCGGAAGGATATTCCTCATTCTTCCAGTCCATGGCTGGGCCTTCCATCCTGCTGATCCTCAGATTAATTAGTAACGAATGCTCAGTCCAAATGAAAACCTTTTCATACCCCAAGAAAAATGCAAGGCTTCGTGCAACATTTTTCTAGATATTTAACATAACGGGAAGATTTATCATAAGTATATCTAGTTTTATGCACCACCCTTTACTGAAATCAGTTCTCTTGATGCTTGGTCACTGGTGAATCATTACACTAAAACATAACTAGTTGGGAATTTTACTCATTTAGCCGACTGTCTCTGATGAGTGGAAATGAAACACAATAAACCAAGGATTCATCATCAGAGACAGAAACACGACTAAGCAACCGGTCAACGCTAATTATAAGATTAAAAGGATCTAATAGTAAACTATATGCAAATTTTCAACCTTTCCGTAAACTTCAAAACCAACGAACAGAAACCCAGAAACTCCCGGAACAGTTAGGGTTTGGACTGCAAACGACGTAATGCAATGAGTACAAACAAAAGGTACCCACTAAGCAAGAAAAACAGAAACCTGAGATTAGGCGAAGAAGAGAACGATGGTATCACAATTTGCAGATCAAAATCAGGCGAAGCAGAGAGAGAGAGAGAGAGAGAGAGAGAGAGAGAGTGACACGCGTTGGGGAGATGAAGGCGAGGATTTGCATGGAGATGGGGTTTCTGCGTTGTTTTTAACGTGAACGTGTCCCTCTCTTCCTTATCCATCCGTCTCTCCAGTTTCAGAGAAATACGCCAAAATGAAAAGAATGAAATCGGAAAAGGAAAAAGATATGATTGCAGAGTGGGCGGGGAGTTCTAGGCTGTTTCTGCCATTCCCATGCAGATGCTCTGTTCTGTCCTGTCCGCCTGTTAACCGGAACAAACCGGAACAAATTCTCCTTCGATGTTCCCGGTTTGATTATAATCACAACCAATCAAATACCGATAAAACCGAATCACATCTAATTCAGTCCATTAGTTATACATTGTTTAGTTCACATATGCTTCCTAGGGCGGACGGATGTGATGAGAAATCTAGATTACGGATTTGTTGGACATGGTTCATCAATTTGGTTAATAATTAAACTGATTTAAATCGAATAATATATAATCCTAAACTAAATAGTTATATTTTTTAAAATAAAAAATCGTATCAGACTAAATGAAAAAAAAAACAAGAAAAAACCGAAAAGTTATTTAAAAATCTAGTAATTTACCAATAAAAAAATTTAGGTCAAAATAAATTGGAACCAAAATAAATCAGACACAAATCCAATAAAATTTAATATAAAATACAATGAATATATGTGTTTATATACTGTAAGAGGTTTTGTCCAAACCCACACTCCATCGGGCCTCGTTTCGTTCGCAAATCGCAATCCCCTTCCCCTCGGACTCCCAGCTTTTCCTCCGTCGATTCCTCCTTCCGCTCCTCGATCTCTCTTCCTCCGGCGTTTTCTCCGCCGATTTTCTTCGAAAACCCGAGTTCCTCTTCTATCCCTTTGTCGTCGATCCGATTCTCAGTCAAAATCGAATCTCAAGGTCGGAGCCATTTGCTTACACTCTTCTTTGATCCAGGTTCCTCTCCTCCTCCGGAGCGTGTTGTTGTTTGTGGTTTGTTCTTCAGTCGGTAAGGTTCGAAACTGGAAATTATGTACTCGGCACAAGACATTTTTGTGATTGATTTTCATTTTGATGCATGATACGATGTTTTGCAAGCATTACGTGCTAAAGCTTAGGTGTCTGTCAATCCTGGTGCTTATTGAGTGTTAGCATGATTCCTTTGCATTTGGCTGTTGATTTTCCGCACAGTGAGCAGCAGGGTAAAGCTTATGTTGATGTATATTCGTGTATGTCCTCAGGTTTGTTTGAAGAGTGTTCCTTTCACAAGCTTTTTCTCTGGTTTGAACTTTGAAGAGTGTTTGGTGCTGATGCCAATTTGTGTTTATTATGTATATTTAAGATTAAAAGGGTTTGGATTTGTAACATTTGGATTCAGGATTTGTAAGATTTGGTATGGGTTGGTTATGAAATTTGTATGAAATTGGATTATACATTGTACAGGTTCGAACATATGTATATTTTGGCTGATCTAAAAGTTGTTGTCTTAAAGATTGAAACTGGAAAAAAAGTGTTAGAAGTTTGAAAATTCCTGAATTTTCCAATGTGCCTTGTTTCCCCAATGGTTTAGATTTTTGTTATGAAATGGAGATGTCTTGTTGTTAAGATTAGGGCATATAGTCTTGCTTGGCTGGAAAATGAAGAGAAGAGGGTGAGAGTATTCCTATTTTGTTTATGTTATTAAGATGATTATGCATTTTGATTTTTTTTTTGGTGGTCTCAGTTGTGGCTTTGAACCAATAGAGAATGGCAACAGCTACGTACCCGCCACCTCCGCCGTATTACAGGCTCTATAAGGACCACTTAGAGGATCCAAATTCTGCCCCTGAGCCCCCGCCTCCAATTGAAGGAACCTACGTGTCTTTTGGAGGCAATTATACTGTGAGATACTTTATTTTTCCTTCATTCCTAGTTTCTTATGTGCCTTGATGTTGTTGTTGCCTGCTTCTCGTTTGCTCTTTGGATCAGTTATTACTTTGTTGCATGTTAATAAACTTGTTGGGGTTAGCGAAAGGGAAATTCCCTCGAGTCTTTTGTGATTGGTTTGGTGTTTATTATGGTTGTGTCAGTTGTATAATTATTCTGCCGTATAGGTATGTGTAGTTTTTTACCGATCTGTTTTTCTCCATGTAGACGGAGGATGTTCTTCCGAGCTTGGAGGAGCAGGGAGTGCCTCAACTTTATCCAAAAGGTCCAAATGTTGGTATGTCATCCTTCTGGCTAGATTCATTTTAGTGAAAACTGTTCCCTTTACTGGATCGTTTTGGATAGTGAAGGTGCATTAGTTTTCGGGTTTCAAGAGGATGAGTAGTTAGAAACGCTGTTGGTTAAGAAGTTTGACAAAAAATACAGCATTAAATCTCTCCGCCTTTTTTCAAGTTATTCTCTTTCACTACCTGTTTCTTTGCTTATTTAAAAACAACATTTTCTTGTGCAGATTACAAAAAGGAACTTCGCTCCCTAAACAGGGAACTACAGCTGCACATTTTGGAGCTTGCCGATGTTCTTGTTGAGAGGCCGTCCCAATATGCAAAGAGAGTTGGAGAAATATCCTCTATCTTCAAGAATTTGCACCACCTTCTCAATTCCGTCCGCCCTCACCAAGTAAGGATCATTCACGACACACAGCCAGCGCTTGCTTATGTCGGTTAGTCTTTTCCAATATGTGTGGATTTTATTTTCTGTCACCAGGCTAGAGCAACGCTTATTCACATTCTGGAACTTCAAATTCAACGGAGGAAACAAGCTGTGGAGGATATTAAGAGGTTTGTCTCCTTTAGATATCTCTCCTCTATATCGATATTATAGAGAAAGGAAAAACCTTCCTGCTTGATATGATATGATGAGCAAATCAATTTTTCCTTCCAAACTGGATACATATCGAGGGCATAATCAACCTCATAGTTTGAAATTTTTCAATGAAATTGTCAAAAAGTATTTCTTTCGTGATACAAGGCGTTACCTCGCTGTTTCTGGTTCTGATTGTTGTTATCACATACACTGCTGCGCCCGTTGGAACCAAAGAAAAATCCTTGGTCATTTCTGTTGCTTTGGGGCCTTAGGAGGATGCTTCGGCTTGAAGCATACTAGTTTACAAATTAGCCCTTGCTAAAAAAACGGTATCTTTGTGGGAAACAAATGTTCTTTGGCTTGGTGTGAAGTGAATGTAATAATGGAAATGTAGTAACCTTTTGCTGCATTGCATGCCCAAAACATAAACAAGCCTCAGGTATTAGATTCTAATGGTGTGGTTTGAGTTAACTATGTCATTTGTCCCTCCTCACTCTTTGCTTCTTATTATATATGTATATATATATATATATATATATATTGTATGATAGTGAATGGATGTGTTGCTTTGGGTTGGACTGTGTAATGTTTCCGGGGTATGTTAAAATGGATTAAAAAAAGACAAGAGGCGTGGTTCGTGTTTTTTGCAGGAGAAGAGAAGAAGCGCAAGGGCTTCTAAGGGAGGCTCTTGGAACCTTAGACGGCCACTAAAGAGTATGTTGGATCCTCATGCATTTGTTTTGTCTCCTCTGTTGCTTGTAATCTTATGTAGAATTAGCATGTTCATGTTGTACTTATGATGAATCTGTCCTCGATTGGAGAGATGAATCATGACCATTACGAAATGTGTTTGCCTAATTTAGCACATTTGAGAATCCAATAATTATATATTTTGGTTCGGGTTAGGATTCGGATTCTTTTGATAGTTTTTTTTTTGATAATTCGGAAATTCACCGGATCTTTGCCCCGATTATATCTCTGAGAGGACCGGAGAAGTCCAGGTGAATGTCCCTCCCCACACTTGGATTTGAATTTAGTATGCTTTGTATGTTCTCTCACCACTAGACCATAACTTGGGTGGTTCTTTTGATAGTTGCATCATTAGCATCGTATTATTATGTTATGTAATGCGCTCGGGCTTCTTTACATCTTCCTCAGACGACAATATAGTGTTTATTCAGTTCCTGCGTTAACCAAAATAAACCGGCTGTATACTATTTATTACTTATTATACATGTGGAGTGCGACGTACAATCTACGTTCGATCACCGAATCAACGGCTAATATTCGATCAGAATGATCCAACGACTCAGATTTAATCTGCGGATGGACGGCAGATTTATTGGAGCAGAAGCGAGACCTGGCCCATGACCTTTCACAAGGTCCATATCTACACGGCCCAATATATTCAAAAAAAGATTATTTTTCTCTCAAGCCGAAACGTGTCACCCGTAGAAGGGGGAGTGTGCCTGAGTCATTCTGAGCGAGAGCGCTAGTGAGAGAGAGAGAGAGAAATCTAAGCTCCGGGATCCATGGCGATGGAAGAACGAGAAGTGGTGTGCGTCACCGGTGCGAGCGGCTGCAGCGGCTCATGGCTCGTCCACCTCGTCCTCCGCCGCGGCTACTCCGTCCACGCCACCGTCAAAAACCTCCGTAATTTTCCTTTTTTCCTTTCTTTTTTTTTTTTTTGAAAATTTCCGCCGCGGAAAACTCAGCGATTCGGCTGTTTCTCATTTCCATGGATGCATGTGTTGTTCTTCTTCGGGTTTCTTTGCAGAGGACGAGAAAGAAACGAAGCATCTCGAAGCCCTTGAAGGTGCAGACACGCGCCTCCGTCTCTTCCAGATGGATCTCCTTCAATACGACACCGTTTCCGCCGCCATCGGCGGATGCTCCGGCGTCTTCCACCTCGCCTCCCCTTGCATCGTCGACGAAGTTCAAAACCCACAGGTTCTCACTCCGTGATTATCTCTCCTTTAATGCTTTGATCGTTGGAGACAGTAATTTGTTTAATGCGTAAGCTCAGGAGCAATTGCTGGATCCGGCGATCAAGGGAACAATGAATGTGCTAATGGCGGCCAAAGAAGCCGGCGTCAGGAGGGTTGTGGTGACGTCATCCATATCGGCTATAACTCCGAGCCCCAAATGGCCTGCCGATAAGATCAAGGATGAGGAGTGCTGGACCGACGAGGACTTCTGTAAGCAAAATGGAGTATGTATTGCATCATTCGGTGAATCTAATGCTTAATTTCAATTGACCCTGTATAACTTTGTCTTGTGTGTTTGTTCTGAATTAGTCATGCATGGTTATTCGAATTCGTGAGCATAATGATATGTGAATCATTTACATGAGTGACTGTTGATGTGTGATTGTTGCATTTGTATGATAGTTGTGGTATCCGCTCTCTAAGACTCTGGCTGAAAAGGCGGCTTGGAAATTCGCCGAGCAGAGTGGTTTGGATGTGGTGGTGGTGAATCCGGGCACGGTCATGGGGCCTGTCATACCCGTAAACCTTAATGCTAGCATGGTGATGCTTCTACGCCTCCTTCAAGGTAATGTTCAATTCGAACTATTTGTATATGTATTTCTGTTGCCCATTAGTTGCTTCTGTTTTGTTGTTTGTTGTTTCAGTTGAAAGTTTGCGACTTTTTACTTTTTGTCTCTGAGATCTTTTGTTGTTGCTCTAATTGGCAAGCCCTGTCTAATGGAACTAGCTTAGCTCACACAAAATGGAATAGTGTTTATGTCAAAGTTCGATTTTTGTGCATCTTTTAGAGAAATCACATGTTTTTCTTTATGTTGCATGTAACATTTATGAGGAGATTTTAATCTTTGGTTTTTTTAGTCGGTTTTGAGATTTTTCTCGCTATTGCTACTCATTTTCGGATCAACAACTCGAAGCTTGCCAGAAGTTCAATCTTTCTGATAAATCTCCATCTGTGTGGCATTGTTTTTGACGCAGGGTGCACGGAGACATATGAGAACTTCTTCATGGGGTTGGTCCATTTTAAAGACGTGGCCTTGGCTCACATTCTTGTGTATGAGAACCCATCTGCAAAAGGCCGACACTTGTGCGTCGAGGCTATCTCTCACTATGGAGATTTCGTAGCCAAGGTCGCTGAGCTTTATCCTCACTACAACATCCCCAAGTAAGTCCGATCATTTATTTTATTTTTGTGCATAAACTCCGATCATTTATCAATCCGATACCTTAAAACTATACGCATTTTGGAGAGGTCGCGTTTCACGGGGTTGGTATTTTATCGGTAGATTACCACGGGACACTCAGCCGGAGCTCTTGAGGGCGAAGAACGCATCTAAGAAGCTGATGGGTTTGGGTTTAGAGTTCATTCCAATGGATCAAATCATCAAGGAAGGTGTCGAGAGTCTTAAAAGCAAAGGGTTCATCTCTTGAATGGCATTGGCTGGCAGTCCTCCTCACTTGCCAAACCACTGTCTTGTCCTTTCCTTCCAACTGCATAAGCAGCAAGAACAGTGTGCTTTGGATGTAGCGGAAATCACTTCCCGTAAGCCTTGCAATAAATAAATTAATAAAATCCGTAATATGTGTGTACGTATGTGTATATCTGGTTCTTGTATTTCTTTGCGTTGAAAAATCTTATTTCATATCATGATAAATCTTTGAATCTTTTAGCCCTGACTAGTAATGTCATCTCCCTCTCACATATTTGGACAATCGCCAACGCTCGAGTTCCTTGTACGGCCCGGCCCATTTACCGGCCCAACTCGTTATAAAGCCTAAGGCTTGTATTTTGGCGTCTGAGCGGTACCGTGATTTCGTATTAATTAAAATGAAATATTGATTTGTTAACTTGTGTATTCGAGTCATGAAATTTGCCATTTTTTTAATAACATCATTGTTACTTTATACTCTTTTTAAGAAAATAAAAAATAGTTTTATAATTTTTAAATATAAAGAAATATTAACATTTACACGAAAGCCATCTTCATCTTGCATTTCTTTCAGGGGTTCAATTTTTTTCTCCCCAAGACTCGATGAGGAGAACTCTTCCTCGTAGCGGGCAAGGTGCTCGACGGAATGTCTGTGTGGAGAGTCAAGTCCCGTCCGCGCCAAGGACAAGCGTGTGCTCCTTTGAATCCACAGCTGTTCTCACAGAAAAAGAATTATCCCGTCTCGATTTCGGAATCGGATTCGGTAGAAAGGGAACAGATTCCGCACGGAATGATTGGAGCGATCAGTTGACGACGCTTCCGTCTTCCGTAGGTACGTCTGTTGCGGTTTTCCCGCGTTCCCCTATCACGTGGAACGAACGTAACCGTCATCTTCTACATCTTCACCTCTCTCTCTCTCTCTCTCTCTCTCTCTCTCTCTACTGCAATCGGTTTCTGTTGCTGTTTCACCAGGAGAGTGGAGAAAACCCTCAAGAAAGTTTCTTCATTTAGAAAACCTAGAAAACTGAGAGAACTCAAGAACAAGAATCGTTCGACTACAACATGAACGCTTCACTGCAAGAGGAATACGAACGAGCAGAATCTCTCTTCGAAAATGGATTTGAAGTTGAGGCCTTGGCGTTAGCTGACGATTTGATTTTACCCCTACTAGGGAAGGCAAACCTTGGTATGCTTTTTTTCCTGGTAGGTAGAATCTTCTTCAATATAGCTGTCGATTCCAAGCAACGTGATTTCAAGTGTGCCTACTTGATCGCTGCCATTGAGTCCTTCGGCTCGGCCAACTCTTACGTTTTACCGGATGCTTTGGCAGTAGCTCAATGCCATGTACGTTCACTGCTTCATTTGGGTGATCATCTTTCGTCGAAAAAGTATTACGGTAAAGCTGTGTCGGCAGCAAAAAGGAATTTATCTGCACAGAACCAAATCAGTTCGGGAAACCAAGAACGTATCAAAGCTCAAAGAAAAGTACTGGAGGATTTTATTGATTATGCACGGTCAAGGATGGATTCTGCTGCTGCAGGGACTCTAGGAGGTGATTTGGGTGATCAGCTTGAAGAAAGTGAGCCAAAACCTTGGGTAAACTGGGAGATGGAAGAAGAACTGGAGACAAGAAACAAGGCCTTGGCCGATACAGTGAGGCCCTATTGGGTGGGTTTAAGCGCTGAAAGAAAAAAGGCGGTAATGAAAATGAACATCAAGGAGTTTAAGAGCTTTGTCGAGGAGTTATACGGCAGAGAGGGAAGAGAGGCTCTGGAGAGAGGCCTTAAATTTGCTCAGGAAAGTAGAAGATGGAAGCTCTGGATCTGTCGATTGTGTTCAAATGAATTCCTTCGACCTGCAGAACTCAAGAAGCACCTTGAGCAATATCATGTGTTAAGATTTCGACTCTCTCCAAATTATGTTGTGCCCCAGAAACTTGTGGCTGTGAAAGTAGATAAAGTTTGGGCTGGTAAGGTAACCGTTGGAGAATGGAAACCGGTGGATACAGTGGCTGCTGTAAGAATGATCAGTGATAACCTCGCAGATGTGAAAGAGTTTGCTTACAGAGATGGATGGTCTAAAGATTGGCCGTCAGTTGATGATGAAGTTCGTAGGAATCTACTCGAGGGAATTCAGAAGATCCTTCAGTTGCTCGTTGATCTTAAGATTCTCTCTAGTAGTGTTCGAGAGTGGTTAGTGAACTTTGTAGCTAAACATTTAAGAGTTTCCCTAAGTTTTCTTGAAGAATGTGGCTTGGACAGTACACCTCAGTGCCTCTGTTTCTTAGGATTGCATGAACTTGATGAAGTATTCCGCTATTTAGGATGCTTCCGCTTAAAACCTGTTGATGGTACAGATCTAATCTCCCAGGCAATAAATCATGCCAAAGAACTGGATGACCTCTGGGGTCGCTCTCGGGTTAAAGAAAGAATCAACTTTGATGATAAATTTTCATGCCTGCTTCTGGATAAAAGACTACTGACAGGAAAGATCAAAACTTTCGATGATGAAGGGACAGTAGGTGTTGTCGATTCGAGTACTGATCCTTACACAGGTGTATCACCTCAGGGAGATGAGATTGTACACTGGTTATGTGACTGCCCTCTGCAGGATCACTGTTACGACTTCCGCCAACCGATAAGGAAATACAATCTTCAAATCCGGTCAGCTATTGGCAGAGCCATTTACTCCCAGCATAGGACCTTGGCAAAAAAGCATCAGAAGAAATCTCAGCTCCAGCTATATGAAGCAACGCTAAGAATGGCCGAGAAGTTATGCGTGGACGAAGATGAAAGGAGAGATAATATTCCGGAGAATCAATGGAAATCTTATGCGTCAATTCTTTGCGATAAATGCAGAGAAATCGGATATGGTCGAATTTCTGCTGGTCAGGCATGTTTTCTGTCTGTAGTAGTAGATATTCTTGAACAATCAAGCCGACCAACATTAAGATTCATAATAGCTGACATGATAAATCGAATCTCCAAGCATCCTAATGTGGAGGACCGAGTTGTGTTGATGTCCATATCTATGTTGCAGAAAGTAGTCCTTGAAGAGGTACGTCTTCTGAGCAAGTTTTTATTAATAAACTCTTAACATAGGTTCCAAAAGTATTTGTTAGCTTTGCAGATTCCTTTGGGGGATTCAAAGATTTTGCTGGTCATTGTTTCAATGAAGAAATTGCTAGATGGCCTCATCGAACTCTCTGCTTTTGACTACCGCTTCGACATCATTCCCCTCATGAAGTTTTTTTTGCATGTATGTGTCGAAACGTTCCATGAATTATAACTATTCATGAATTCTACTTTTTGGTTTCAACATGCATCATCTATGATATTTGATGTCTTTTCTTATAGAAAACGTTAAAGGAAACCATATCAGCTGAAGCGGCTGCCAATCTTTTAAAAGAGATAGATGAAGAGAATAAGCAGGCTTTGTTGCAAGAGAGGAAAACAAAGAATAACAAACTTTCCCGAAAGGAAGAAGTGGATAAGAAGGTTCGTGAAGCACTGCATTCTTTCTCTGCTTCTTTTAATCTTCTTGGGTTTTTCACAAATTCAAATTGTGTGATTGAATCGTTTCAGGGAACTTCTACCCAAATTTCTAGTCCAATGGATCAGATTGTGGAACCGTAAGTAGTGCAATTTGGTCAGCCATTACTTTCTTACTGATATTCTCCAAACATCATCTTAATTGTCCCTCCACGTTCTTTTGTATGTTCAGAGAAGCTTCTGTTATACCTGAACCCGACACTGCATCTACTTTGGTAAAAATGGAGAAAGACAAACATGCTGAGCATGCAAGCCTTGAAGATAAGCTGTCAAGTGAACGTGAGCCATTCAGAGTTTCAGAGAATCGAAAGGAAACAGAACTTCGTGATGAGTCGTCCGAGAATAGAGGAATACACCTAAAAAGTGATTTCCGGACAAAGGATGAAGAGTTATCTACTCAACTTGTGTCTGCACCATTGGAAAACGCTATGAGATATGATTTGTTTCTCGACATTATGCTGAAGGTACAACATTCTGGTTTGGCTCATTAGTCGTTTAGTTGATACATATACATATACACACATATATATATATATGTATGTGTTAAAAGCACGAGTTTTGTGTACTACAGGCCCTCTGGCACATTAAGGCTTTTAGAGAGGAAACTCAGCGATGTCGACAACCAGTTCACAACCATAACCATCAAGAGAAACGACACGTTCTCTGTGCGCTGCAAAACCTGTTTTCTTCCTTTGTCACAGAACAGATGAATGACAAGAACTTACATCGTTTCCTCTTGAATGAGTTAATTGTCGCCCTAGAAGATTCTCAATCTATGGTTTGTGCTAACCATAGCATATATACTGTGGTATTGATAAACATGGTATAGTTTTCTCAATATATATCTTCCAACCACTCTTCAGGAAACTGATGCTGCCGAGCTACTGATGTCTGTACTCGAGTTCCTGCACTACTGGAAAAGCCCCTCGCATGGAGAAAGCCTCGCTACTTTCCTTTTTACACAAGAGGAATTTGAAAGGATGAGTTGCAACCGATGCAGAAGGGAGACGAATTATAAAAAACAACGTTCTTATGGGCTTAAGATATGTGCTGAGTCAATCAGGGAGTTCAAGGCAAGCGTCTTTTCTTTACCACCCTTGTTCATCGAAAGGAATGTTTCACTCTCTGAATGATATTTTCTAGAAGGGTTTATTGTCTGAATTGCTTGCAGTCTGCATTTGGGTATATGAAGTTTGAGGATATCCTCAAGGCCATCCGGATGAACTTCCAGATGTACTGTGACACGAAAACGGGAGGATGTGGAAAACGAAACTATGTTTGTCATGATATAACAAAATGTCCAGCAATCTTTATAATTGGTAAGTTTGTGATCATGCATGAGCTTGGAAGATACTTCTTCAATCTGATATGATAATTTTATGTGGGGGTTTGTATCTATGCAGAGCTAAAATGGGAGAAGATTGAGGCTGGAGAAGAGATATCTGAAATGGCAAAGGCGTTGGATACAGAAATAGATATCAGCATGCTGTACAAAGGCGTAAACCTCATGACTAATTACCGGCTTGTATCAATGGTGAAATCTGAAACAGTCATAGCTTTCCTCTCTCTCTCTCTCCCTGATTACACTTAACAATCTCAATGTGATGCAGATTGGGTGTAAGGGCGAGGAAGAATACAGTTGCATAGCATATGAAAATAACAGATGGGGAGTGACCCATGATCCTTTAGTAAAAGAGGTAAGACAAAATATGCACTCCTCTAAAATCTTATGTTTTTTTTTTGTTTTAGCAACTGAAAAGTTCGGTCTGGTTGTCTTTTCTTTGTTTTGTTTGGGCTCAGGAAATTGGTGACTGGAACAGTGTGGTGAGGTTTTGCACAGAAAGGGAGGTTCGACCACAGATTCTGTTTTTTGAAGCTACATGGCTGCCTAAGAAGCCATAGAGACTAAAAAGTTTCACATATAAATACCGGTTTTATCGTCAATCCATACAACCTCGGTCAGATCAAGTCTGGTAGCATATATAGATGGAAGTGATTTCGAGGTTGTAATCATCTGTGCTTGCAACAATATTATTGGTAGAGAGGCTCATGATCATGAAACTTTCCAGTTGCTTCACATCTTGTTAAAAAGCCGAGATGAAATGAACATTGCCACACCCTCATGTCTTTAAGGTAGCAAAAACGTAGCAAAGTTCATGCAGATGGAAGCTAAGGGTATCCTCAAACCTTAATATATCCCCAAATTGCCAGCCTGCATTTCAACAAAGAAACATTTTCAAGGTGCCTTCTTCAGAGAGACCGGAGCATTGTGTTTAATTCGATGATCGACATCTGCTTCGTGTGCTCAAGTGGAAATCCTATGGTCGTGTTAGAATACAGGAAACTGCAGACGATTTATTGCAGTATACCGACAAAAATGTCCATTTTTGGTTTGATTTCTCAAGAATGGACAAAAATGTTCCTAGTGAAATCTCACATGAGAAAACCTTGACTCAGATTTCTTTTTGCTCTTCACTGTTTTGTGCTGCACAAGCTAACCTTGTCTTGCATCCATTTGTTTCATCATTTTCCCCTGTAAGACTGAGACATTGAATATTGTCGTTTCAGTTACTGTCTTCCTTCTCAGCTTCTGCAGCAACTGCCTTCTGTTTGGTGTCTGTTTCTATCATTTTCTCCAGCTCTTCCTGTAATGCAAGACATTGGATATCATATTCAATAACACATATTGTAGACTATACGATACACTGTCACTTCTAGAAAAGAAGTTTTCCACGGACCCGTAAAAACGACTTCAACAAGGGAAGGATAACAGAGCGGTAATCGAACATTGATAGATCCGTGAGGTCATCTAGTAGCCGGTGCTTCGCATTTTCGTGCAGCAGAAGCTCCGAATCCAGCACACGAATCTGCAAAACTCAAGAACTTGATAAAGGGGAAAAGGATATCTCTTTGATCATTTTCTGAACGTGGGTTTTCGAGGGAACTCAATAACTGGCGCATTACCTTGTCGCTGAATGCTTCCTTTAGCACCGAAAAGGATTCAAGAACAGAATCATCATCGACATAGGCATTACTTATATGATTCAGATACTCTTCCACTTGTAAGACTTCGAATCTCGGGGATCTTGCTTCTTCAACGACATCTCTTACAACAGATAGGTAGCCAATTGTATCATTTGAGCTCGGAATACCACCTTTTTCTACACGGCTCCAGCATACCTTACGAAGAAGGAATCGATAAGTTTCCTCCACCCATCCTTGTGGATGAGCCCTCCACTGGTTCAGTGATCTCTGCACCTCTTCTAAACCTCTAGAATAGAATTGCACATTCAGTTTCCTCTGGTATGTTGTCTCCAGTGCCTTACACTCCCACTCTAAGTTTCTCAAAACCGCCAACCAGATACCGAGATTGTGTACCATTACCGGTCTTTTGAACATGAGTTCCTCTTCCTCATCTGTTCGAGTTCTCTCAAGAATCCAGGAAATGATCTCGTCGCCTTGAGAGATCTTGGCATCGTTGTCCAGAATCAGACATGAGAGTTCGTAGTCAGATATGATATGTTGGGTAACTCGAGAATTTTCCCGGATTCCGTCCACTGCTCTGAAAACCCTTTCTGTGCGGATACTTACAGTTAAGTGCCTTAAACAGGCAAGCATCTGTCTGAGTGGATCGAGTTGTAAGAGACAGAAGCACCGAGGGATCTTGTCCAGACCCGTGTACGAAAGATATTCTTTGGGAACTCCAGATTCTTGCAGACTGCAAACTGTCATTTCCTTCAACAAGTCCCAAAGGCCACGAGAAAGCATTTTACGTTTGGAAACTGATTTAAGCAACTCACCGAACTCTTTGAGGATGTTTCTACGGTTTTCTTCATAGTTGGGAGATAGAATCGAATCTATGTCGATTGTCATCACTGTAGTCATTGGCTCCCAGTTACCAGATTGTATCATCTCGCAGCAATCTCCATCCACTATTTGAGGAATTATATCCTCTGGAGGTGTGAAATGCTCTACATGTTTGTATTCAAGATGTTTCCTGCATTCTTCGGAACTGTGAAACACCATTGAACAAGTTCCACACCTCCAGAACTTCCATTTCAAGTTTGTCTTTGCAAATGTAAGAGCTTTTTCAAGGGCTTCACTTCTCTGTCCGCTGTATTTTCCCTCTACATATCTCTTCAACTTCATAGTGTCCACTCTCAGAAGATCTTGTTTTCTTTCATCACTCATTCCTGCCCAAAAGGACGATATCTCTGCTCGGTTTTCGATCTCTGCAGTTAACCCGGAAATCGGTTCGTTCTTCTCAACCCTCTCCTTAATATCGAAATCTACGGAATCATCAGGTTTCTTCTTTGTTTCCACAAGTTTGATCAGAAACTCGAGATCTTCCTTAAGAATTTGGACTATTTCTTGGGGGATGGTTTGATGATCAAGAATCTCTTGCGATAAGCCCTCTCTTGCTTTGTCCTCAGCTCTATCGTAATACACTTTGGCATTGAGAAGTTCACCCAACTTGAAAAGTGAAGATGCATGGAAATGAATCAACAAGAGAGAGCCCGGGAGGAGACCGTCGGATCTGGAAAACGACTCTGTAGCACTCAACCAATACGTGCATTTCACGTCAGCGTTTCGAGCTTTTCCAGATAATACGGAGAAGATTATACCTTGCAGAAAATGTGGAAGGAAACCGCAGGCTTTCCCATGGTTAGAAATCGATTTCTCGGTGATCGCCAGTGCATTGATGTAGTCTTCTTGCACAATGAAATCTATGGCTCGCTGGGTATCTTTCAAGATAGCCTCATCGACCACTGGGGACTGTTCCATACTCTGACTGAAAACGACAGAGGCAGAATGATTATTCTCTCTTTTCCCGGTGGGATTCTTCAGAATCTGAAGGGAGGAATGCCCGGAATCTTATGATTGGCGCAAGAATTTTCCCGAGAAAATGGTGGGTCTTTCTGACTTTTTTTCTGGGTTCCAAGAAAATGTAAAGAATGCGAGAGAAAGAGAAATCGATATAAACGCATCTGGATCATGATTTTCTTTAACAATTTTAGATTATTGATACATGGTCAGAAACTATACCAGTTTGCTCAGCTGTGACAGTTTGCATCTGGATGCCAAGTTCTGATGAACTGTTCAGCTGTTCACTTGGATCTTCTATCACGTTGGCTTTGTCTTCACCACCTGCATGTTCGAGTTGTTCTTCTTCCTCCGCTTTCATCAGCTCGGAAAGATCTCGAGATTCATCCACAAGATTTCTATAAGTTGATGCTACCGGAATATCTTGCTCTGGTGCCGATGATTCAGCTTCATTAAGCTGCAAATCATGTTTGAGCTCCACCGATGCACTTCCAGGAACCGATAGCTTTTCTTCTGAAAAGCAAAACGTGAAACCGATAGATGAAGAGCGGCAAAATAACATCTTGTTTTCTTGCAAAACAAGAAACCCAACTCTTGATCACAAGTTTAAATATCTTGATTATGCCTTGTCTAGCAAGCTTCTCCTCTCCTTTGGAATGATCGAATGTTGGGTACTAACAAGAATTTCCGAACAAAATCACTCTTCAAGATTTGAACGTAGCTCGCATTGTCAATGATCCTAGTGCTTGAATGTTTCAGCAAACCTTGAACAAGTTCTGTTTTTCCGGGCAATCTCGTTTTGTTCTCACCGCTTTCTTATAAAATCGACAAACCCATCTCAATTTGGATACACTAATCGTGGTTTCAGCAAAATTGCGGCAAAGGGTAAAGATTTATGGGCTTTGAAGATAAATAATTTGCAGAAAGATGCCAACTTTTTGTTGTATTGATTTGGGAAGAAACAAGTTCTTGCCGGAGTTCTAAGACGTTCAAGAATAGCAATAGCAGTAAAACGGAGAAGAATCTTGCTGAAGAAATGACAAGTCTTTCAACAGAGTATTAAGAAGGGGATTTCATGTACAAAAAACCTTGTTCCATTGCTCCTGCAGCAACTGGCCTACCTCTCTTTGTCATCCATTTCTACCATTTTTTCCAATTTTTCCTGGAAGAGAGAAACATTACATATATCATATAATATACATTTATATCTGATATAACGATACAACGGGAATTTGACAAAACCCGAAGGTTTCACACTGACCCTCAGAAAACTATTCAACCATGGGAGGAGAAGCAAACGGTAGTCCTCAAAGGATAGCTTTTGAAGGCCATTAATCAGCTGGATCCTCGAGTTTTCATTCAGCAAAATCTTTGTATCCAACAAACGGATCTGCCAAAAAAAAATCCAGATTTTTTTTAATCAATCTTTTGTGAAGAAATACGATTTCCAGAACCGAAACAGGTTCTGCATTTCCTCGGAACTGAAACACGAACCTTGTCACTAAATTGTGTCTTCAGCATTGAGAAGGTTTCGAGTACGGAATCATCATCAATACCTCGTTGTTCATATATGCATTTCATATACTCTCTAACTCTTAAGACTTCAAATCTCGGGGTCCTTTGTTCTTCAAGAACATCTCTCACAACAGATAAGAAACCTTTGGTATCATCGGACCTGCGAACATCTTTCCCGACACGCTCTAGGCATTTCAGAATAAGGAAATCCGCATATGAGGTCAAGTAAAGACGCGATGTCTTGGGCAGATTTTTTTTCTCGTCGCATAATTTCTCGACTTCTACCAACCCTTTAGAATAAGGTTGCATACTCAGTTTCCTTTTGTATGCAGTTTCCAGTTTCCTGCACTTGCACTCTACAATTCGTAAAACCGCCAACCATGTATCAAAATTATGATTTTGAAATGCAAATACACTGTTGTCTGGTGGACAGCTGAGCAACCAGGATACGATCTCATCTCCCCAACGTATCATATATTCATAATGATGACGAAGTACTGAGGTGTCCTTTACTTTCCCTTCATCATCAAATTGATCAACATAGCTTCTCACTAGTAATCCCAGAAATTTCTCGTCAATGTGGATATTGTCCTTTACTTGAGAAATTTCCCAGGAAAGGTTGGCTGCCCTGGAAACCACGCCAACGCTGAGATCCGTAGTGATGAGTCTTAAATATCCTAGGATGTTCTGAAGTTGATCATGTCTTAAGAAACAGAGGCATTGAGGTGTATTTACCAAGCCACAGTCAATCAGACAGCATCTGTGAATTCCATCAAGTTCGATATTCTCATGTATGAACTCTTTCAACCAGTTCCAAAGACTTGATGAAAGAATCTTATCTTCTGCGACAGATATAACGATCTGACCAATCTCCTTTATGACGAGTTCTCGGTCTACATCAGCTACTAAAGGCCAATCTCTGCACCATCCTTTGTTGTAATGAAACCCTTTCCCCGATACAGTCCGATTTCTTATCATATCTGTTGCCTTTACTGTATCGACTGGCGCCCAAATCATAGAGGATATCATTTCAGATGCACTTTCATCTATCTCGGGAATAAGATCCTTCAGAGGTTTAGATTTCACTGCATGTTTATCTTCTATATGCCTTTTCCACTCTACGGAACCAAGATATTCTTCGGAACATAAGTTACACTTCCAGAAGCTCCAAGTTCCTTTTGTACGGCGGAAATCAAGAATTCTCTCCAGAATTTTTCTCATCTCGCCGCCATATTTTTTCTCCACGAAGCATTTAAGCTTCCTGATGTCCGCCATCAGAAAATCCGTTTTGTTTTGAACACTCATTCTTTCCCAAAAAGACCTCAATCTTTTAGCATCAATGGTTTCCCTCTCTTCCTCCCCCTTCTCTGCTCCTTTTTGCAGCTCCTCATCTGACATAGGAATCGCCTCGTTCTCCCCATTGGAATCCAAAACATTCTTTTTGGCACCAGAATTCATCTCTGCTTCTGCAACTGCAATCAATTCCTCAAGCACTTTCCTCTCACCATCGATAGATACCTCCGGGAATCTTTGAGGATCAAGCATTTCAACAGGGTTTTGCAGGGATAAGCCCTGTCTTGCTCTGTGTATAGCTTTCGAGTAATACACGTTCGAGGAAAGCTGTTTACCCAAATCAAACAGTGCAAAAGTAAAGAAACTATTCCACGTGAGAGAACACGAAAACAGAGGAGCGGATCTGGAATAGCACTCCACGCAACCCAACAAGTATGTGCACCTAAAGTCGGAGTTCTTTGTGAGGGAAGCAAGCTTACGGAAGACATCGCCTTGTATAACGTGTAGTAGGCAACAGGCGTTGTCCTTACCGTGAACCGAAATCGAAAACTCGGCTATCTCCAATGCCTTCACGAGGTCTCCTTTGCTGGCGGCATCTGTGGCACACTCGTAAGCCTTTTGGATAGCCTTCTCTACCTCCGATTGTTCCATCATTGCACTGAGAGAGGAAGTGAAGTTTCCTGTTGAAAATTCGCGAAAATCCGCCAGAATTCTCTCGGGAAAATGGTGGGTTCCTCTAACTTCTATCTGGGTGTCGATAATTTTCTCTGAACTTTTCCAAGAAAATGGGGAGAGTTCAAGAAAATGATGAGCCTTCTTGAGAAAAGGGGTCTATTCGCTTCAGAGGCAGTTGGATTTGCCACGTGAGGGTCACGTGACAAATCCAATAACCGGGCAAACTGAAGCAACGTTTCTTCCGCAGCAAGAAACCCAAATTCTCTCTCTGGTTCACTCGTGGGAAAAAGCAACGGGGAATTTCGTCGAGCACTTTGTGGGCATTTCCTTCGAGTAAAAAAGCAGCGACCTTTACGTCACTTGTTCCTTTTCCCAACCAAATTGCAATCATCTTTCGCTTCGGTCGTCACTCGGACAGTGTAGAGATCGCGTCTTTGATCCAAGTTTGCGTTTACAGATATGATGACCAGAAAACCACGAGATCGATTTGAATTTCTGAATGTTTGTGAGAAAACCTCTCGGAAGAAAGGCAATTCTCTTGCACAGTGAAATATCAAAGTTGAGCATTTTTAATGCCCCTTTTAAAGAATGTAAATATGCATGTCCGAAAGTTCACATTTTTTTTTTATCAAGCAGATATTTTTTTTTTTAATGAATGCAGTTAAAGTTTCTCTCTTTACTTGACACAGATTCTAAAGGGCGTCTTGCTTCTCAGCCAACAAAGCAGACTCAAAGAAGAGAACTTCTGGCCTGAGCTTCCTCTCTCTACAGAATTTCACCACATTCCTCCATTCTCCGACAGCCTGCTCCATGAAAAGAAAACAGGTCATAACAACATAACCTAAGAGACAAGGGAGAAAAAAAAGACAGGAGATAAGATTTGAGGAGCCTTCCCCTCTTTCTTCTGTCTTACTTCTTTCACTGAAGAATCATGTCTGACCCATCTCTCGTTATGGCAAGCTATGCAACTGTAATCTCTCTCGCCACTGCAACCAATCTGAACCGGAAACTTTCGGGGTTAAGAGAGCGAGAGAGCGAGAGAGAGGAAGTTTCGGGACTCGGTCTCGGTATTACCATTGATACAAGTCGGTATGTAGTGAACCGGTCTACACCTTCGTATAGACGGCTGATATCTATTTCTGTAGCTAAAGCGTTTGCCGTTGCAGATATCTCTTTCTTAGTTTCATTCTTCTCCCATTCCAGTGCTTAAGATCACAAAAACAAAACCCGGGCAAACGTGTTATTATAGGGAAACGATGAACTATAAACATTCACAGTTCATGATCATGAAGAGACATTACCGATGATGAATATAGACGGATATCTCGTTAAAACATGACGAACGCTATTCCGTTTTCCACAGCCTCCTGTTCTTTTGTCACAGCATATCTGGTAGCCCATCCTATTGACCTTAAGGATGTCTTCAAACGTCATATCCCTGAATTCAGACTGCATCCCGAGCACAAAGAAACAGTCTTTTGAAGGTTAGCTTTAAACAAAAAAGGCTCATGGTTCTCAAGTCCAACACAGAATGCGTTTGGATGCAGAGAAAAGCCAAGAAAATGGAAGAATTTTTTTTACCTTCCATTGTCTGATCGAGTTGGCATTTGTTATAATCCCATAAGAACTTTGCTCTGGATAATTCGGCTGTCGTTTGCATCTGTTGCAAGTCATCCTTTCAAATTCTTCCAGTGTGAAAAGACAAGTCACTAGGTTTTCCCTATGTCGGTTTTTCCAGTAATGCAGAAATTCAAGGACGGCCATTAGCAGCTCAGTAGCTCCATTTGCCTGGAAGAGTCATAGTAAAAACCCGAGCTTCAGAGACTGTCAATCTTACCAAAGAGTTTACACAGAAAAGTTACCATGGGGTGAGTCAATTTTAGCCCAACACGCAAATTGCTTAGGACCCGATGATATGATCCGTCGTCATATATTTCCCGGTCATCAAACAGGGAAAACAGGTCCTGCAATGCACAGACGATGTCCTGGTCTTCCGTTTGGTTTATGAATGATGGTCGGAAACGGGGCAACACCGTTCTCAGAAAGCCAATGTGCCACAGGGACTGCAGAACAATTTGAATGAATGAAAATCAAGAGAACTGAACTAAAAAGACGGGGATTTCAGTTTTTTTCGTGTTGACAAGTTCTAACCTTCACTATCATATCCAGAGCCGAATCATATGTTATATCATCTTTTTCGGGTGCCGATGATTCCGCTTCATTAAGCTGCAAATCATGTTTCAGCTCCACCGATGCACTTTCAGGAACCGGTAGCTTTTCTTCTTAGAAAAACATGAAATCGATATAAACGCATCTGGATCATGATTTTCTTTAACAATTTTAGATTATTGATACATGGTCAGAAACTATACCAGTTTGCTCAGCTGTGACAGTTTGCATCTGGATGCCAAGTTCTGATGAACTGTTCAGCTGTTCACTTGGATCTTCTATCACGTTGGCTTTGTCTTCACCACCTGCATGTTCGAGTTGTTCTTCTTCCTCCGCTTTCATCAGCTCGGAAAGATCTCGAGATTCATCCACAAGATTTCTATAAGTTGATGCTACCGGAATATCTTGCTCTGGTGCCGATGATTCAGCTTCATTAAGCTGCAAATCATGTTTGAGCTCCACCGATGCACTTCCAGGAACCGATAGCTTTTCTTCTGAAAAGCAAAACGTGAAACCGATAGATTTCCATCTGGATCATGATTTTCTTTAACAAATACATGGCCAGAAACTATACCAGTTTGCGCAGCTGTAACACTTTGCATCTGGATGTCTTTCAGCTGCTCACTTGTGCTCGAAGGTTCATTGTCAGGGCACAGATCTTCTATGGTGTTGGCTTTGTCTTCGGCATTGGCTTTGTCTTCGCCACCCGCATGTTCGAGTTGTTCTTCTTCCTCCACTTTCATCAGCTCGGATAGATCACTAGATTCATCCGAAAAATTTCTAGAAGTTGCTGTGTTTGGAATATCTTCCATCTGCTCTTCTGTGCTTAAAGGATCTTCTGTTGTGTCCTCCTTGTCTTTGATTCCCGCACGTTCGAGTTGTCCTTGTTCCTCCACTTTCGTCAGCTTGGAAAGATCTCGGGATTCATCCGAAAGATTGGTAGAAGCTTCTGCAACTGGAATATCTTCCCGCTGATCTTTTGTGGTGGAAGGATCTTCGGTTATGTCCCCCTTGCCATTGCCGCCCGCATGTTCGAGTTGTTCCGCTCCCTCCGTCTTCATATGCTCAGAAAGATCTCGAGATTCATACCTGTGCCTGACAGAAAAGATTCATTCCAGTGAAATTATATTCACAAAGGGCCTGGTGAAAATGATTAACCCAACTTACACTTCTTTCTTTCGGTTAACCGAACTGCTCGATGAACTTTTCCTCTGTTCTTTTCTACTCGAAGAACGTTCACAAAATAGCAGAAAAGCTTCTGCGGCTGCCAATCTCTCTTCGGAATCCTTTTTCATCATATCTTCCAACCTTTCCTGTGAGCAAAGACACTAAATATCATATGGTAAACAAAACTTCAATAGTGAGAGGTCACTTGTGAACCGGATAAAAATCGCAGACCCGTAAAAACAACTTCAGAAATGGAAGGATAACCGAACGGATGTCGATAACGGATAGCTTTTTCAAGTCATCTAGCAGTCGGGTTCTTGAATTTTCTGTCGCCAGAATCTTCGTATCGATCAAACGGAACTGCAAAGCTCCAAAATTTTTATTTATCAGAAACCTCAGAAAACTCTTTTCCAAGCAATGGAAAGGAAAACTCATATCAGACGCATACCTTAGACCCGAGCCTCGTCATTTCATTCTCTAAGGTCGTAGATATGGAATCGTCGTCGACATCAGAGAGCCGAGACATAGAATTCAGATCGACTTCGGGACTCGATTTTGCAAGTCTCAGGACTTTTGCTCCTTCAAGAGCATCTACTACAACGGATAATAAATCTATAGTGTTACTGGAATCTCCGTCGTCTTCAGACTCGAAACACTTTGCTGTAAGAATCGATGCATATGTTTTCCACTGATCTTCCGGGACATTCCTTCGCCGTCTATCTTCCTCTGTACATAACTCTTTTACCTCACACAACAGTTCGGAACGAGCTACCATATCCTTTCTTCTTCTGTATCTTTTTTCCAGTTTCCTACACATGCACTGAATAATCCTCAAAACCGCCAGCCACAAATCCTGATTGTGTAGCCCTATAGGTCTCCGAAACACGATATCCGCATCTATCGGGGGGCAATCAAGAATCCACGATACGATCCCGTCGCCTTCGGGTGATACCCGAGAATAATGTGTGCTCGGAGCACCGACCTCTATTATCCCCTCATCATCTGAGACATTAACTTCTCCTCTCAGCAGTCTCTTGTCTGGAAGCAGACAGGAAGCTTTCGTGTCGATGTTGATTCTTTCCTTCACTCGGATTTGCTTCCAGAATCCATCCACTGCTTTGAATACTAAACCCGTGGTAATGTCAGTTCCGATGCGTTCAAAGTACCAGTTGATGTAAGCAAGTGGCTGAGATTCTAAGAAGCTGATGCAGTGAGGAGTTTCGAACAATCCCGAGGCGAAAAGATAACGTTGGAGATCAGCAGGTAGTTCGAGATTATCGACTGTGAACTGTATTAACCAGTCCTTGAGGCTACAAGAGAGCTGCTTATTCACGACGAGAGATTCGAGGAGGTTACCAAGTTCCTTGAGGATTTTTCTTCGTTCTTTGTCGGCGGACAAAAAGTCTTTCGACCATCCTTTCTCGAAAACGATATGTTCCCCCTCTTCAAGCCGATCCCTTATCATTTCAGCCGCTTTTATATCCACCGGCTCCCATTCCTCGAGTGATATCATCTCGCACCAGCTTTCATCTACTATCTTGACTGTAACAACCTCGGAATGTCTGAATTTCTCGGTGTGTTTTCGTTCGATATGCTTCCTGAATTCCGAAAAACGGTGGAATTCCTCGAAACAACTTCCGCACTTCCAGAGTCTCCATTTCCATTTTCCCTTCGCATATTCGATATCGACTTCCAGAACTCCTCTTCTCTCGCTGCCGTATCTTTTCTCAACGACGCTTAAAAGCTCCTCGACATTCACTACCATAAAGTCTCTCTTTCTTTTGACACTCATTCCAGCCCAAAATCGTTTCATTTCATCAAGTTTTTTCGCCTCCTTCCTCAACTCGAAACCGGAACCCTTCGTCTTCTCAACCTCGGTACTGAAATCAGACAAGGTCTTAGGGGCACCAGAGTTCATCTTGCTTTCTGCATGTCTGATCAAGATTTCTAGTTCCGCTTTCAAGTAATGAACTATTTCTCGAGGGTCCGAGTCTTGGGTACCGTAAGGTGAAGCCGCTGCGCCCTCGAGCATCTCACAAGGTTCCACAATGGACAGAGCTTGTTTCGCTTTCTTCACGGTTTTCTTGTAATACACGTCTGAGTTGAGATGTTCAGCCAAATCATACAGCGAATGGGCAGTGCAGCTAATGATCCTGATAGAGTCTGGAAGTAGGAGAGTGGACACGGAGAACGATTCGATGGAACTCAACAAGAAGACGCATTTCGCAAAAGGGTTCTTTGTTTTCTTGGATAGTTCATGGAAGCAAGAACCTTGTAGCCAGTGCAGATATGCAGAGTTTTTGTTCTTTCCGTACAGTGAAATCGACTTCTCGGCCATCTCCAATGCCTTGGTGTAGTCATGGTCCGTGAAGAATTCTTTGGCATGCTTGTATGCTTCTGTGATCTTTCTATCCTCTTCGATCCGTGATTGTTCCATTTTCTGGCAAGAGAAATTGTGCTTCCTCTTCCTTGTCTTTCTCCTTCTACCGGCTGGGCTTTTCTTGTTCGGTTTCTAGGAGTCTTTTCAGAAAGTTTCTCGGGAAAATGGGCTTTTCTTGTTCGGTTCGTACGAATCTTGAGGTTTTTTCTTGCTGCCGAGAAAATGAGAGATTTCAAGGGGGAAGAAGATGGAAGGAAAAAGAGTTGGTTATGTTTTTGCTTCAGAGGCGGTGGGAGTTTGACCACGTGAGAGTCACGTGATAATGAAGAGGCGAGGGAAATTGCCCTGTATTCTTGCGCGGCAAGAAACCTTAATCTCTGAAACACGTCGAAGTCATTAGCTTTGGTTGTGCCTTCTTTGTGTTGCCAACTTCAATCCTGCAGACAAATCGGGTTGTTTTAGAACAGTAGTTTGTGATTTTGGAGAGTGACGTAATGTATGTGATGTGATTATGTCTTCATTCATACTTTGTAATAAGATTAGACCGTCAAATCAAAATGTTGGATACTAAGTTCGAAAACACTTCTTGCTCGACCACAACACTGCCCACAATATGCTCTTTTCTTCAAAGAAAACGAGATCTCGATGTGCGTCCTCGGAACGCGCAAACTTCCGATACCGATAACGGAAACTACGGGTCAGAGAAAATCTCAGGAATTTCGTCAGTCGAAGTTGTCGATTTCCAGAGGGATTATCTCGTCAGCAACGTCGAACCCTCCGATGACCCGAGCGAAGAACAGCATCTGCTGCTCCAGTGTGTATTTGATGTTCTCAGCCTGTAACCAAGACGGTGAGGGACTGATATATAATGATATACAGATGCCGTTATTAAGATCAGAAGTGGCTCGAGACGAGACGTTAAATTTTTTGTTACCTTGCGAAAACCGTGCTGTTCGCCTTCGTACTCAACCAGAGCGACGGGTACGCCCTTTTCTTTCAAGGCTTGATAGATTTTACGAGATTGGTCTGGGAACACGACCTGCAAGCCATTCAACATCTTCTTTAACCAAACTTCGAAATCAAACTTACAGACACTGATGCTGTACGAAGCAACAGCCAATTCATTTTACAGGACTCGAGGTCAGATAGTCGCCTGAATAGTGAAAATGCAAAAGAACTCGAGCATTTCGGTTACTAACTGATAAGTTCCAACGTTTACAAATCATAAATACTCGAAACTATCCAACTAACGAAAGCATTCATTGAAGATAAGGTTCATTCCGCACCGAACATATGCTCAAAGCATTGGAGAGCGAAAAAGAGAAGGAAAAAAAAGAGAGCGGGGAAAGTGAAGGACCTACTTTGTCTTCTAATCCTTGAAAAAGGATAATGGGGCAAGAGAATCTGTCGACGAAGTTGATTGGTGATCTCTCGTAATAATCCTTTTCATCTCCTGCAATTAGGCAATGACTTTCCGAGACCAGTCGAGAAAACAGAACAAAAGAAGACAAAAACCGTGTTGTCAAAGTGTTCAACTCACCGACGAGATTATCAATATAATAGGATTCGAATTTATGACCGTCTTCTCTCAACTTCTTTAAATCAACAACCTGCGTTAAGAGTAGCCAAACAAGCTAACGACGTTTTTCACAATACAAATGGCACTAAACTGTGTAAGATCAAGCTTTTTGATAATTTTCAGGAATATAAATTCAAGGTCCCTTTGTTGATATTTTTATAAATGCTTCCTAAAACTGTAGCGGGTTTGTACTCACGCCGTATAGTGAAGCTCCAGCCTTGAATATATCTCTGAACGCCAAGGCGGCAAGGGTTGTGTACCCTCCAGCAGAGCCTCCAGATATGCACAGTCGCTTTTCATCTATCTTTCCGATATCTATCTGAGTAAACCAAAAATGGGCTTTGAACTCATTTTCCCAAGCTTTCATACATTTTTTGTTTCGTAAAACGGATAAATATAGCATGAAGAGAGAATGAATTCACCAGATACTTAGCACAGTTACAGCAGTCATCGACGTCGACAATCCCCCACTTCTTTAACAATCTCTCTCGATATTCTCTACCATAACCTTCAAAAATTAATTTGCTAATGTCACTCTAAACTTTATATAATCATACATATAAAACGATAAGAAATAAGAAAATGAAAAACTGGATTTTTGCTGGAACAATCATTTAGCACAATAACTACATGACACTGACAGAATGATGCCACGAGGAAAAACAAGTTCACGAAGCGAAACTAAGAATACTTGTTGAGAGAAAAAAAGACAAAATGGTCCAGATTAAGAAGAATTGAAGAGAAGAGAAGAGTAACGTTTAAATCATAAGATATCACCTGTGCTTCCACCATAATTAACGTCAAGAAATGCCCATCCTCGACTTGTCCAGTACTGGATACTCAGATTTAAGGATGCTCGTGTTTCGGCAGTAGGTCCTCCTGAAGTTTGCATGCAGATAACAAGATATGACATACATGAGATATTCATATGCAGTGACTTGACCACGAAGTCGAGAACTTTTTTTTTCCTTTTTTTTGCCACAGCGGGTACATAGTGATTAAACACACAAGTTTGCAACTATAGGAAATAATTTGGTAAAGTTCAGCAAAGTGAAAACCTGTAACCAATCTGAAGACAACATACCATGACTTTTTACCAGCAATGGAGGCTTCTCTTCCGAGCTAGCTTGGTAGAAAGGATTGGATGGAGGATAAAAGTATGCATAAGCTTTTTGACCCGGAACCTCTGTTGGGAATTCAATTAACTCGGGCAAGCTGAAGAAAGGCTTGTAGTTCAAAACATCGGGGGAAGAAGACCAGACAATCTCAAAATTGATTGCTCTTAGCTTGTGATCATCAAGCGTTATCTGTTAATGATCACAACACTTTCACTATAGCCACAACTTAGTCTCAACTAAGAATGTAATAAGAATCTTTAGTACCTTGGCTATTGATGATGGATGAATGGCAGATGCTCCCTCAACATAAAGGCATTGATACCCAAATGTCTGTGAAAAAGGAAAACATAAAACTTAATAACTCTGGAATCCGCTTGTGAATTGATAGCATGTTTTGCAAAATCAGAATATGTTTATTACAATGTTCTCGATATCTGTCAAAGGAATATCAAGCAGGGAACAAGAACCCTGTGAATCATCCACAATACCAAGATATGACCTGCCTTTCTGCCTGCATTCAGAGAAAATGATCATTAGTAAAACAGAACATAAGTGAACATATAAAAAGTATAGCCTATATCACAACTTCGTAGAGTTTTAACCATAACATTACCTATAGTTACATGCAATTAAATTCTTTCCTTCACCGCTCTCAGTTATCTCATAGGAGCTTATACCAAAAACCCATAATGGTTTGGTAAACTCGGCATCCAGAGAATAAACAGTAACCACCTCATTGGTCCCTTCAACCTGTCGCTTGAAGAAAAAGAGGAAGGATATTAACAAGAGAGAAAGCAGAATTAACACCTTTCAGGATACCTGAGTGCAACTAGTAAACTGGAAACAACTTGAATTTATCACTTCGGCATCTATACGGTAGGGAAAAACCAAACTCACTCAAACTGGCCTTGTACATGCAAAAGTGAAATTTCATGTTTCATGAATATGAAGATCTACTGCTTGCAAAAATCTAATACAAGGTTTTAGCATAATGAACATGTATATATGCAAAAACACTGGGGAGCTAAATGGAACTATAGTATCGGGAAGAGAGGAATTTACCCATTTATGAATATTCCAAAATCCAGTCTTTCGGTCAGTAGCGAAAAAGAGTTCCCCTGAAAAATCAAGCCAGAGTCTCTAGTAAGGGCACATTACTACAGGCCTGCTGCACTCTGATAAGAGAGGAGACACATCACAAGTTTTTAACTTGTTAAGTATACGGACCTTGTTTCAGTCTCATACTTCTGAGGAAAGCTCAACACCAAAAATTGAAATAATAAAGTAGGAAATCGAACACCCAGGATTGGTAATTGCTGATCAATTTTTCCTAGAGGTTTGACTTACAATCCTCTTCACTTCTTAAAGTTCTTTTATGATTCTATTTCATCTTGTGAAAGTACCTCTTGATGACCACTTCGGTTCAGTTGGTGATTCGACATATTTGGGATCACAACCAGCAACACATACACGCTTGTAAATATCTCTGCAGAGAAGCATAATAAATATTAATAGACGACAAGCAGCAAAAAACATTAAATTGTAAGCAAAGAAATCCTTCTCAAAGAGTTCTCAGAACAACCATACAACTCCCTAGCTTTGTCTGAGCACTGAATTATGAATAAATCAGACTTTTTTTTATAAGCAACGAGTTCAAACATGCAAATCACACAATTTAAAACGACAGAGATATAACATTTCATTACCCGTTCTCAGAAATGTAGCCAACCCAGAGCTCTGCTTTGTCCCATGGCATATTAGGGTGACCCCACTCAATCCAAGCCAGCCTTTCGCATCTAGGATCCAATCGTGGGAATGCATAGAAATCATTACCACTAACCAGTACTTTTGGTTCTGGATGTTGTAAAAAAAACACAGATGAGTCTCACTGTAACAAATTAAAAGTAGGCTGAATCAAATCGCGTTGCTTGCATTCTGTCAATGGAAGGGATCATACTCCACAAGATAATCTACCTTCAAGAGTCTCTCCACTGAGATTGATCTCCACTATTTCTGTAACTGGATTTGATCTGCTCTGGCGACCATCTATAACAACAAGGCAAATTGCCCTAGTAAGCGACTCGTCATAAAACAATATGTATAAATCAGAAAACGTCCAGCACGCTTTCAGCTAAGCATTATGGATACGAAATACTAAGTACCTAAATAACAGCAAAATCTCACCTTCCCTAACAGTAATGTAACGGTCAAAACGTGTATCAAATATCCCATCTGCATAAGTGACAGTTGGTGCACCATAATCTGGAGTGATTGGTTTTGGAGATGAATCTGCATGGCATCCACCCAATAGGCAGCGTCAGATATTGGCAAGGTAATAAAAAACAATCGGCTTCATGTAAGATACAGAATCACTTGACAGAAAAGTAAAAAATTCCAAGACTTTGAAGACCCCACTGGCTCAAATTCATACCAAAAGTTCAGAACATATGCAAATATATATACACACACATACTCATGTTAGAAGCTCCTACATGATAGGACCATTGAAGAGGTTTAAGGTTTAATAACCTTTGGAATCAAGATCTTGCTTGTAGAGCCGTTGATCCTTGTAATTGGAGAACACAACTGTGTCATCTGATGAGATCCGGAAAGCACCACCACCATACTCCTGAGTCAGAGTCCTGACTGCAAAATCCTTCGGCGTGATATCGATTGGTTCATCTCCAGGGTTATCGCCTTCTCTGACCAGAACCCCTCTCCTTCATCATTCACAAAGTGTCTTAGAATCGTAACATAAAGACAACAAGTTCGGAATTTCTCACCAAAAACATGGAAGAAACAAAAGTCATACAAAGTACAAGCTCAGTTTCCACTTAGAATCTGAAGTTCAATGGACTCAGAGATGAAGAAAAAACACAAATTAGCTAAAACGTTAAATCCATCTCCTTCAGTTGGCTAAAACTCTTAAAACAGAACATAACTGATACAAAGGCAAAAACACGGTCTCCCACTTCGCATCTGAAGTCGAAAATGCAAAAAATTAACAAACGTTGATCACCCTGACTCAGAGGGGCGGGACTCGAGCCAGACGAGACGGCCCTTAGAATCTACGGCGGTTCCGCCTAGACGCTTGGAAGCTCCGGAGACGACGTCGGCGGTGATCGGAGACTTCCACGAGCCATAACGAGCGGTGGGGGGGGGGGGGGGGAGCCATAACGAGCGGTGGTTTTCTCCGGAGACGGCGACGAGGACGAGGACGAGGACATGGTTACAAAACGGCGAAGTGGTTTGAACCTTCTGATGGCAAAGGACGAAGACGACGATGGAGAAGCGTAGAGATGGAGGGCGCAGGAGAAGCGAGTGAGGGCGACTATATGATTCAGTGACGTCAGCAGACTCAGCACTGCCATTTTACTCCGTGGTCCGTGCCCCTCTCCTCTTTTTTTTTTTTTTTTTTTTTTTTTTTTTTTTTTTTTTTTTCCTTTTTTTTTTTTTTTTTTTTTTTTTTTTTTTTTGGGGGCCTTTATCATTGTCAAGAAGAAAAAATTAAATGAAATCCAAATAATTTATTTATTGGGCTATTGGAAAATACGGATTATAGGTATTTTTGGGTAATTAAGTACATACCAAAGGTTATTTTCGTCGTTTCACTTCACTTCGCTATCTCACCCTCCCTATTTGTACTGAACAAGCTAATCAATTTTCATTTTTCTCTCTAGCTACTCTCTTTTCTCTGCGTCTGCAAGCTCTTGGACTCAGATCCGAGGCTCATCTCTTGTTTGATTCTCCTTCATCTTGGTTTATGAGGTAGGTTTCGATTATTTCAGATCTGTTCTTTGCGCTTTGTTTATAGCCCATGATTTGGGTTTTTTTTCGTTCCAATCGTCTCGAGGAAACGATCTGCTTTTGTTTCGTGTTTTCGCGATTTGAGGTTTCTTATGATTGCTTCTTGTGGTGTTTGATCGTTGTTTTAATGTCTGAGGGTTAGGGCTCATGAGAATACGGATTTTGAATGCGAGAATCTCGATTTCACCTTGAAAAAGCAAAACTTTAGTTTTGTGTGGGTTTCTGAATCAGTCCATTTATCTCCTGACACGTTTTTTATGCCACTGTTCTTGTTCTTTGATAGAATTGGAAGATCTAGTATTGTATTTCTTCTCGAAGGTTTGTTTTTGTTTGTTAGGGTTTCAGATTTTGGAGGAAAAAAAAGATACTTTTCCCTCTGTTTCGGCTGAAATGAAAACCCTTTTTCACAATAGTTTCTCCAAGAATGTTTCCTTTTTTCCTTTGTTCTTTGCCATGAGCTCTCGGATAATTCCTTTTTACGTGTTACCTTTTAAACATTCTAATCTATGTTCTTTCTCGTCTTGCAGCTCGAAGGAGAAACCCACTCTCGGGTGAGTATTATTGACTATACTCATTAAATTTCATACATGTATTGTTGACACGGACGTTGTCTAGGCAGTAGATGAGGAAAAGGGCATGAAAATGAAAAGGATGAATACTGCAACATCTTCTAAATCTTGATCCTGCTGTTATCATGAAAAAGTTCTGTGGTTTGAGCCGTCAATTTATGTTTTCTTTGTGTTAGTTAATAGAAATATGAGAATGTCAACTTCAAATATTTATATGAATCCCTAGGAAGCTGCCAGATGCTTGGACTTTTCGCTTCTTGTTTGTTATAATATTTCAATGCATTATAGCATAGAACTGAGTTGATTTCTTTGTAGTTTGGAAGTAAATCATATGTTTAGAAAGAGATGTAAACAGGAACCTTTCAGTTTGGAGTATTGTAAGGTCTTTGTCTTGAGATTCATTATCTGGTGTTCTTGTTTTGATCTGTACAGTTGAATTTTCAGCCTTTATTTGTTTGCATAACATGTTTGTTTAACAGATATCCTTCTTAATATATTTTTCATATTTTCGTGCAGAGGCACGCGGATTAAGACCCGCAAAAGGAATATTGCTGCTCCTCTGGACCCTGCAGCTTTTTCGGATGCAGTGGTCCAGATCTATCTGGATAATGCTGGTGATCTGGTACTTCTTGTGTCTGCTTATTTAGTTTGGTAATCTTATTTATCGTTTAGGCATCTGTTTAACTTCCTGCATTGGTTTACTGTGTATAGGAACTTGTTGCCAAGAGTATTGAGTCGTCAGACCTTAATTTGTCAAGATACGGTGACATCTTCCTTGAGGTAATTTTTCATCGAACTGTTTACTGATTGCCTTCTATCAATGTGATTATGTGATTATGTCTGAAGTTTTACTAAGTTCCTAAAGATCAGCTGGATTGACTAGTTATGCTTAGGTATATTATTATGAACATTCAGAAAGCAAAGCAGGGGTTTCAAAACATGTTATTTTCTGCAAAGATTAGAGTTTCAATTGGTTTGGTCCTTGTTTGTGAGTTATTAAGTGCCTTTCTCACCCTATGGCTTGCTACTCTTGCGTCTCTGAATTCCAGTCATAGTCTTCTTTGTACCACAGTGCTGGTGTGATAGATCTGCCTCACTATTATGGTCTTGTGGTAATTTTTGTTTAAAATTTTCTTGTACTGTGTGATTGCAGCCAGTTGCTATGTTGTGCCTTTCTTTTTCTTTAATAATGGATGGTTCTTGTGTCTTTTAAGGTTGTTTTCACAGGGGGGCGCACACAACCTGGAACAATAAAACCTGAAGAGGGAGAGCGTCATCCTTACTCTGTGTTTGACTGTGAACCCAAGCGTGAAGCCATTTTACCATCAGTTGTCTATATACAGAAGATTTTGCGGCGGAGACCCTTTCTCATAAAGAATCTCGAAAATGTTATGGGAAGATTCTTGCAATCACTGGAGCTTTTCGAGGAAGACGAAAGGAAGAAGCTGGCAATTTTCACAGCCCTTGCATTTTCCCAAAGACTATCTGGGCTACCTCCAGAGACCGTCTTCCAGCCATTGCTCAAGGATAATCTTGTTGCCAAGGGGCTAGTGCTATCATTCATAACAGACTTCTTCAAGGAGTATTTGGTTGAGAATAGTCTTGATGACTTGATTTCAATTCTCAAGCGAGGCAAAATGGAAGATAACCTTATGGATTTCTTGCCACCAGCAAAGCGATCTGCTGAAAGTTTCGCTGAGCATTTCACGTGAGTTATCTTAGTTTCTTGCTTGAAGTTAGTTGCATTCATTATGATTATGTTGCCTCCTGATGTATGCCAATGTCTTCCATTCTTTTTTATTCTTGCATTTCTTTAATGTGCATTCCTCTGACTCTGACATAAATCATTATGACAGCTGTGGTCTGATGTCATTTAGTCAAGACATATAATTGTTATGCTGTGAGCATCGAACTGTTGATGTTTTCAATGTCACTGTTATTTTCAAGACTTCCCTAGCTGGATTTTGTCTTTGCAATGATATTGTTTAAAAAGAACCCCTTCTATGTGTGCACTGTCAGGCATTTTGTACGGTAATCTACTTCTGCCGCTAATTTTTTTCTCATTCTGTTGTCTTTCAAATCCAAATATGTATCCAGTTCTTTCCAATTAACTGACACAAGATATGCTTTATTGTCCTGTCTATTTTTAGCAAGGCGGGGTTGACAGCTCTGGTAGAGTACAATGAAAAGAAAATATTTGAGGTGAAACTGAAGGAGATAAAAACTGTTCTCACAAGCCAGATCTCGGAGGAAACTGATGTTGATGAAGTCATTGAAACAATGAAGCAGCAGGTCAGAGATGCTAAATTACCAGATGTCGAGGTTGTGCGTGTACTTTGGGATGTTTTAATGGATGCTGTTCAGTGGTCTGGGAAAAACCAGCAGCAAAATGCTAATTCTGTTCTGCGCCAGGTAAAATTTTACATTTTTTATTGAGAATATTTGTCTGTGAATTAGGTTTAATTAAGTGTGCTATTTTGCTCGTAAGAGATAGTGGGATGCAACTTATAGCTATGCTGTCATTAGAGTTGTTATGTTCTAATCTTGCACAAGAATTGGCTGCAGAATATACTATGAAAGCATTGACTGGATAACTTTATTGTGACAAGGCTATTGTTTTTTTTTAATGTAACTGACACACAATGGGCTTTTGCAAGTAATTTTGATCTAGTTATTGTGCTGAGCTAGAATTATAGCGTTTTGTCTTATACCCCAGTTACATTCCCCTTCCGTAAACTAAATTTTGTGCTTGTATATACGAGCTCTCTTGGGATTTATTCCATGTTGTGTCTATGAATCTATACACACTGAGGGATGTAACGGATGTTTGCAGAACATAGTTTCTCCTTTTCTTGTCATTATCCCGTTATATGTTAAGAAACACGTTTAATTTGACGAGGGGTTGTGTATGTAGGTGAAAACATGGGCTCCCTTGCTGAACACGTTCTGCACCAGTGGGAAGCTACAACTGGAACTTATATACAAAGTCCAAATGCAATGCTATGAAGACGCTAAGCTCATGAAACTGTTCCCTGAGGTGGTGAGGTCGCTCTATGAACTGGACGTCCTTGCCGAGGATACCATTCTCCACTGGTTCCGTAAAGGAACGAACCCTAAGGGCAGGTATGCTCCTGTTGCCCGATATATGATTAAAAAAAAAGAAAAATCTCTTTGGATATGATACTTTGATTTCGGCTTGATATACATGGGGAAAAAAGAATGTGAGTTGCTTAGTTATCCAATGTGATGTGAATATGCATGGATTAAGGATTAGTTGTACCTCATTTTCCAATCGGGCGATGTCGATTTTGTTTCTGAGTTCTCAGATTGTTTTTTTCTGTAAACCATACTTGAAGTATTCAAAAAAAAAAATGTTGCAGGCAAGCCTTTGTGAAAGGACTGGAGCCGTTTGTGAATTGGCTGGAGGAAGCTGAAGAAGAGGAATGAGTGACAATGTAATGTCTGTGTTATTAATAAATAAAAATAAGACTCTTGAAGCTAAGAGAAGAGACCTGTGTGTTGGAGTTGGAGTGTGGGCTCATGATGATGATTGATGATGATGATGATGATGATGTGGGTTTGTAGTTTGTCTGAAATAAGTACACCTCTCAAGATTTGTCCTTTTTTCTTTTATGTTTGCTGAAATATTCTCTCGAACATCTGTTGTTTTCAAAGTCTATCTAAATGTTTTTCAGAGCCTCATTTTGACCTGACACATGCCTCTTGTTACCGACTCACACAGTATCTGACATGAGTGACCTAACCCCCTGACGTCATCCCCCAATATTTATGTTGGTGAAACGGTTGTCCGTTTGCCTCAATGAATTGTCTGCAGTGTCCTGTATTCTAACATAACCTTGAAAATGTTTCTTTGTTGAACTGAACTTCATCTGTATGCATTTGCTAATGTTTTGTTACCTTAATTGACTTGTGGCAATGTTCATTTCAACGTAGGTGCCTCTACATTATTACAACTTCAAAATCACTTCCATCTACTGTGACTTGATCTGACTGAGATTGTATGGA